ATGAGAGAGGGATGGATGGATATATGGAGGGAGGGAGGGATATATGGAGGGATGGATCAAGAATAAAAATAATTTTAGAAAACTCTGAATCAACCATTTCAGCCCTTCTTTTATAAGGTCATGATAACTATGGGAAAGTTGGCAGTTTAAAAGCCCAGCAGCCACATTTAGAAATGCCTTAATCCATAAAGGAGGCTTTGATTATGATGAGAAACAATCCCCAGACAGGCAATTATCGCCACCCATAGCTGGAATTTAAAACTACATAATATGAAACCATTGCAATAGATTACATATCTAATTCATCCGTCCAGTTTCCATTCCCACTTATGCAGCCAGCTGTTCCAGGGAACACCCCATGGAGAAGGCCAGGCCACTGCAGGGCGACGCTCCCAATGCTCCCAAGGGGCAATTTACTGACACCAGTTCACCTAACTGCACATTAGTAGAGTGTGGGTGGGAACCCACAGAGAGAATGTGCGTCCTGCTCACAGGCACAGAACCAGGGGCAGCAATCGAACCCACTGTGGGGGTGTGAGCAAGGCCATCTTAAAGTGGGGGATGGGGGGGGCAATACAACTGGGGCCCAAAATCTGTAGCAGTGTTATACAGTGATATAGTGATTACACACACACACACACACACACACACACACACACACACATACATAAACACAGGCTAGTCCTTGCCCTGGCAAAAGATCAAGCAAATCTGCAGTCACCAAATGTCAGTTAACCCTTCTGGGTCAGTGGTGTAACCCACTGCCTGTCACGGTCGCTTTCTGACCTCTGAAGCAGTACACGTCATGCAGACTGTGTGGCTCAGGGAAGCCTGTCTGGTTACTGTGGCGGTAGATGGTTTTGACCCCGGGCTGGTTGCCTCCACACCGCTCCCTAGGGGTGACGATGGGGTAGCGCACGCTGCCATCCGCCAGCCAGCCCGGGCTGCAGTGGTCCAGGCCGTCGTTCCAGGCTGCGTATAGCTGGCCAGTGGTGGCCAGCTCAGCGCCTGCGTTCTCGCAGAAGGCTTGGGCCTGATCCAGTGTGAGGCGCTGTGGGACAGAGCTATGGAACACCTCACCTGCACGGGAACAGACACACATATTGGCATCTGAATCCGACACTTGCAGGTCCATTTTGGTTTCAGTTCGGTGCAGTCTGTGGGTTAAGATTCTGTTCCTATAACCAGAAGGTTGTTGGTTTAAATCCCATAGCCAGCAGAGTGATTCTACCATTGACCTCTAAGCGAGGCCCTTAACCCCAATCGCTTCAGATGTGCGGGACACTGGCTGATCCTGTGCTCTGCTCCCAAACCTTCCGCTTACCTGTGTATTTATTTCTAATGGAGAGCAAGATGGAGGAGGTGAAAACTGAATTACCCCACACAGACAAATAAAGTAGATACATTCTAATGTGCTTTTTCTCGTCTCCACTTAACTCAAAAGCACACTCACATTAGAAGAGAAACAAAATATTCAGGCCAAGCTTCTATTTATGAGTTTTACAGAACTACTAAATTGCACCATTAAAACCCTGTAATACATAGTAAAGGATTGAATTGGTCTTAATGTGATGAGCTAACCCAAAGAGGACTGAACTGAAAGGAAAAAAGAAGCTTTAAGCTCTGCAGACAGAATGGGGTTCCCACAGTCCGAGCAAGCCCTGAGGTGGTCTAACGGCTGCCTAGCGGGAAAAAACACCCCTTTGTTCACTTTGAGTGTTTGCCAGTCCACAGCTGTGGTGTTACACATCAGCCTCTGCCAGATTGAGCACAAAGCAGCATGCCCGTTAGCCCGCAAGCCTGTTAACCCGTTAGCCCACTAGCCCGTTAGCCCGCAAGCCTGTTAACCCGTTAGCCCGCTAGCCCGTTAGCCCGCAAGCCTGTTAACCCGTTAGCCCGCTAGCCCATTAGCCCACTAGCCTGTTAACCCGTTAGCCCGTTAGCCCATAAGCCTGCTAGCCTGTTAACCCGTTAGCCCATCAGCCCGTTAGCCTGAGCCCTCACTGTGATGGCAGCCCCAGGCTCTGTCTGGGCCTCCAAACTGCACCAACACCCTTCGCAAAATGACTCACAAATGGTCGTGATCTGCCATTTCATACAGGCAGCAAAAACTGAGTTGAAACCCATATTGATGACACCTTGCCGAATTTCTGACAGTCCTTTCTACTCCTGATTATAAACATCACAAACTCATCAGCTATGTTGAGTGAATTACACCGATCATCTGGGGATCACAGTGTGCATGTCGTAAATATCTGTTCTTGAGTCTATTACTGTTATTGTAATCTTGTGTTTTGCATTGGAATATTGTTAGAGTTATTATTACTTATCTGAATGAATATACAGTACCAGACAAAAGCCTGGACACGCCCACTTTTTATACATTAGTCTCTATTTTAGCTGTGTTATTCACCTTACAGTAAAAGGCCTCTTGGCCAAGAAAATAATACATATTTAATATTGCAATAACCAAGAGAAGTGTTGAACATTTCATAATTTTTTCATAGTTTAGATTCTTCAACCAGCTTCCAGATGTAGCCACCTGGAATGCTTCTCCAACAGAAGGAGTTTCTGCATGTTGGCTACCTTGCTCTTACTGCTCAATCCAGCTCTATAGATAGGGTTTAGGTGGGGGGGGGAGGGTTCCGGGGCCAGGTCATCTGTCACAGAATTCCATTTTAAATTGTTCAAGATAATACTCACTACATAACCTCCAGCTGTGTTATGGTCGGTATCTTGTTGAAAACCCCTCCAATGGGCTCACCACCTGTAGGAGGGGCCATAGGGGTCGGGTGCGTTGTGAGCTGGGCAGTGGTCGAAGGCGGGGACCTTGGCGGTCCGATCCTCGGCTGCAGAAGCTAGCTCTAGGGACATAGAATGTCACCTCTCTGGTGGGGAAGGAGCCTGAGCTGGTGCGCGAGGGTGTGAGGGTCCGACTAGATGTAGTCGGGTTCACCTCGAAGCACGGCTTGGGCTCTGGAACCAGTCTCCTCGAAGGGGGTTGGACCCTCTTCCACTCTGGAGTTGCTCACGGGGAGAGGCGCCGAGCTGGGGTGGGCATACTTATTGCCCCCTGGCTGGGTGCCTGTACGTTGGGGTTTACCGTGGTGGACGAGAGGGTAGCCTCCCTTCGCCTTCGAGTGGGGGGACGGGACCTGACTGTTGTTTGCGCTTATGCGCCAAACGGCAGTTCAGAATACCCACCCTTTTTAGAGTCCCTGGAAGGGGTGTTGGAGAGTGCTCCTCCCGGGGACTCTCTTGTTCTGCTGGGGGACTTCAATGCTCACGTGGACAATGACAGTGAGACCTGGAGGGGCGTGATTGGGAGGAACGGCCCTCCCGATCTGAACCCAAGTGTTGTTTTGTTGTTGGACTTCTGTGCTCGTTATGGATTGTCCATAATGAACACCATGTTCAAGCATAAGGGTGTTCATATGTACACTTGGCACCAGGACACCCTAGGCCGTAGTTCGATGATCGACTTTGTGGTCGTGACATCGGACTTTCGGCCGCATGTATTGGACATTCGGGTGAGGAGAGCTGTCAACTGATTACCACCTGGTGGTGGATTGGCTCCACTGGTGGGGGAGGAAGCTGGTCAGACCTGGCAGACCCAAGCGTATAGTGCGGGTTTGCTGGGAACGTCTGGCGGAATCCCCTGTCAGAGGAAGTTTCAACTCCTACCTCTGGCAGAACTTCGCCAATGTCCCGGGGGAGGCGGGAGACATCGAGTCCGAATCGGCCATGTTACACGCCTCAATTGTGGAGGCGGCAGATCGGAGCTGTGGCTGTAAGGTGGTCGGTGCTTGTCGCGGCGGCAATCCCCGAATCCGCTGGTGGACACCACCGGTGAGGGATGTCGTCAAGCTGAAGAAGGAGTCCTATCGAGCCTTTTTGTTCTGTGGGACTCCGGAAGCAGCTGATGAGTACCGGCGGGCCAAGCGGAACGCTGTGGATCGGTGGAAGAAATACTTCGAAGACCTCCTCAATCCCACCGACATGCCATCCAATGACGAAGCAGAGTCTGGATATTTGGGTATGGACTCCCCTATCTCTGGGGCAGAGGTCGCTGAGGTGGTTAAAAAGCTCCTCGGTGGCCAGGCCCCGGGGGATCCACCCAGAGTTCCGTAAGGCTCTGGATGCTGTGGGGCTGTCTTGGTTGACACGCATCTGTGGCATCGCGTGGACATCGGGGGCGGTGTCTCTGGATTTGCAGACCAGGGTGGTGGTCCCCATCTTCAAGAAGGGGGACCGGAGGGTGTGTTCCAACTATAGGGGGATCACACTCCTCAGCCTACCTGGTAAGGTCTATTCGGGGGTGCTGGAGAGGAGGGTCCGCCGGATAGTCGAACCTCGGATTCAGGAGGAGCAGTGTGGTTTTTGCCCCAGCTGTGGAACAGTGGACCAGCTCTATACTCTCGGCAGGGTCCTGGAGGATGCGTGGGAGTTTGCCCAACCAGTGTACATGTGCTTTGAGGACTTGGAGAAGGCATTCGACCGCGTCCCTCGGGGAGTCCTGTGGGGAGTGCTCTGGGAGTATGGGGTGCCGGGCTGCCTTATAAGGGCTGTTCGGTCCCTGTACAACCGGTGTCAGAGCTTGGTCCGCATTGCCGGCAGTAAGTCGGACTCGTTCCCAGTAAGGGTTGGACTCCGCCAGGGCTGCCCTTTATCACCGATTCTGTTCATAACCTTTATGGACAGAACTTCTAGGCGCAGCCAAGGTGTTGAGGGTGTCCGGTTTGGTGACCTCAGGATTAGGTCTCTGCTTTTTGCAGATGATGTGGTTCTGTTGGCCTCATCAGACCGTGAAAAGAGTGGAGTGCTCTCTCCGGGTCGGGGAGGAGGTCCTTCCCCAAGTGGAGGAGTTTAAGTATCTCGGGGTCTTGTTCACAAGTGAGGGAAGGATGGAGCGGGAGATCGACCGGCGGATCGGTGCGGCGTCAGCAGTGATGCGGGTGCTGCATCGATCTGTCATGGTGAAAAAGGAGCTGAGCCAAAAGGCAAAGCTCTCGATTTACCAGTCGATCTACGTTCCTACCCTCACCTATGGTCACGAACTGAGGGTAGTGACCGAAAGAACGAGATCGCGAGTGCAAGCGGACGAAATGAGTTTCCTCCACAGGGTGGCTGGGCTCTCCCTTAGAGATAGGCTGAGGAGCTCAGTCATTCGGGAGGGACTCAGAGTAGAGCCACTGCTCCTCCGCATTGAGAGGAGCCAGATGAGGTGGCTCGGGCATCTGCTTAGGATACCTCCTGGATGCCTCCCTGGTGAGGTGTTCCGGGCATGTCCCACTGGGAGGAGGCCCCGGGGAAGACCCAGGACACGCTGGAGGGACTATGTCTCTCGGCTGGCCTGGGAACGCCTCAGGATTCCCCCAGAGGAGCTGGATGACGTGGCCGGGGAGAGGGAAGTCTGGGTTTCCCTGCTGAGGCTGCTGCCCCCATGACCCGACCTCGGATAAGCGGAAGTTAATGGATGGATGGATGGATCTTGTTGAAAAACAAATGATTTTTAGTTAGTGTGTTTAGACTTTTTATTGGTACTGTATTGTTTGCAAATAAAAATGGACGCATACACATTCCAGGTATTACCTTCACACGTAAGGCTTTTTGAAATATGTAAAACATTTTTGAGGGTGATCACTTTACCATCTATGTTTTCCACGTAGCAGTACACGTCAAATGGCTCCTTGGCGTCCTGTGTCCCATAATTCCTCACTCCGGGGTACCCGTCCATGTCACCGTAACACCCTTGTCGTGGCATCTGAATGGGGTACCTGAAGGGAGAACACAGAACGATCATGAAGGTGTCCTACACCACACCCACCGCTTTGGCAGTGCACTTTGCCCTAACCCTCCTGAAAATAAATCTGTCTCTCTGTGGGGATGTAGTCACAAGACTGAGGAGTAATTTATTGCTATCAGAGACAGAAATGAGGTCCAGTGTGTCCTCTAGTAACCCTACAGTCCTGCTGAAATCATCACTTGTTCCTCAAGAAGATTGAGAGTCATGTTCGGTCTTGATATTTTCTGCACAAAATAGTCGCTATACTCACACGAGAACAAGTAAGCATGTATCTTTCCAAGTCTGTTATATACTGATACACGTGGTACGTTTTTGCATACTCCACCTGTTTTATTTCACAGCGGTTTTGACGAAAACAGCAACGTCAACGGCGCATCAGGCTACAAAGGCAGCACTTTCGCAGGTGCTCTGCGACGTTCTCTGGCCCCTTGTGACGTGGGAGGGTCACGCAAGGCCAAGGGAAGGTACATGCAGCTCCACCAGCCCCCTATGCCGTCTCCTTATTCTGAACTGCCCCCTCCCCCCCATTATACACATAGCTGAAGCAAGCTGGATTCAAGCAGGATGCAGTAACCAGGTGGAAAACAATGGACACCGCAAACCCTGCCCCAAGTCAGGCTATGCCCAAGGAGACATACAGTGCTTTGACTCCTGGAAAATAAAGATACTGAGTGACAGCATTGCTAACTAGCATGATGCTAAAGGCACCAGGGGGAAAATAGGTTAAGTCCCATTATTATTTTACGTCACCCTGCGACTCCGCCCACGCAGGTGAATGCTGACTCCTGCAGAACATGCCGCTGACTGCCACCGTGAGTCCTATCCAAGGACAGCTCATTACTTATTCTGGAGTCACTTCCCGCGGAGTCTCAACAACAGCTTAGTCCTGCTTAGTGAGTACATACACGAGTCTCAACCTTACACTACGCCGGTCATATTTATATTTATGTGCACAGAAATACCCCAATGCCCCATGGCCCTATATTGCATATTGTCGCATTGTTTAGTGTTTAGTGTTATTTTTGCCCGAGTGTACATTGTATTTTTGTTATATGTCGATGTATGTTGCACCCCGGTCCACTGAGAAAGACTGTCTCCTCACACTATGTATGTGTACACAGCTGCTGATGACAATAAAGTAGCTTGAACCTTGAACCTTGACTCACATCAGCAATCCCTTAAAAAGCCATTTTTATTAACTGCATCACTGTCTGATCACCTTAAACATTACAGCACTGACCATTTCAGAGCTTCAGTCATGCCAGCGTCTGAAATAAACCAAAAAGATAGATTCCCTTTTTCCTGGTTCTCTGAGATTAGCCTCACAGGCAAAACATTTCATGCCTGTATTCCTTTGTATCTTTGCTTTATATCTCACTGAAAATAAACACTGCATACCCTAACCTGTAACACAGTCCAAATCAAAAATTATTCTTTTGTTTTTCGAGCGAAGGGCAAGTAATTCAAAGGCTCTCTGATTAACCGTGACCACAAAGCTCCGGCTTACTAGCTAAACAACACAAAGAAAGACACTAAAAGCTAGACTTTGTCATCTGTTCGTTCCTTTTGATGGGCTATTGAGTCACACAGACTTTGAGGAATGAAAGAAAATCTTCACATTTTTGATTATAGCTTGCAGATACCACTGATGTAACCGTTCGGAGGGTCATTTAGTCGGCCCTTAGCATCAGGTAGCCTTATAAATATTGATGTCACACTTATGACACGGGTATGAGTCTCTGCACCAAGTCGTCTCATGCATATTTATTTACATCCTGTGTATTGGTTGGCCTATGTGCAAGTGAGAGCACCAGCGGTGAGCTTCATTTTTCCACCTAAATGGCACTAATTAAGGCATGCATGCAAAGTAAACTATAAACAGCAGGTAATGATGCTCTCGGGCTCCACTCTGCAGGACGCCACGGAAAGTGGGTACACTCAGCTGCCGGCAGGCTGGCGCTGCGGAGAAATGTTTTGGCATGCGAGGCAGGCCTGGCTGTTTACGGTTAGCGAAATGCTACAACGACAAAAAGGATGTTAAGGTGTGGTCAGCAGGGGGCGCAGTAGGGGCGTTGGGTAACCTGGCAGATTCAGATGGCCCAGCACTTTACGGGGGCTCAGAATTTTTAGCTGGTCGATCAGTTAGCTCGTGTTATTCTGGGTCATCTAGCAGGAGAAAGGGTCACCTCACGGTCTGGTCGGAGAGCCAGCCAGCGTCGCACTGCTCGTAGCCGCTGTGGTAGGCCGCCAGGAGCTGCTCCGGGGTGGCGATGCTGGCGCCGATGCCCTCGCAGGCCTGCTGGGCCTCGCCGAAGTTGAAGGCATAGCGGCCGGAAGCGTCGCGGTAGTGGAACACAACACCTGCCACGCAGACGCACGAGCACACACATGCACGCACGCACGCACACACACGTAGAAGTACACAGGCGTGCGTACACACATGCATGCAGACGGCTCAGTTAAGGGTATTAAACAGCTCATTTGTGTAAGACATCAGGTTTCTTGTCAGTCGGTTCCGGAATGTGACTTTCAGCCAATGAGACACCTTCTGCATAACAATGTTTCAGAAGCGTCTACTTCTGAGGTCCACAGCTAATGAAACGGTCTGCTAGCACAGAGACAATGGGCATCTCTGACGTGAAAATAAGCAGCAAAGGATTACTCCCAAAATAATTATCACAATCGTTATTTTACCAGATGCATATGCTCTGCTATGGCTTAAAATTAAGTACAATGAATTGGCAATTTTACAAATATCTGCCTGCAATGGCTTGCGTGAAATTCTCCACTAAGGTGCTTAGCATAGTTAATACATTATTTGATAAACAAATTCCTGCATCCAAGGTTAAAGATTTATTAAACTTGCCAAATTGCCGGATATAGCAAAATAATGGCTTCAATAGGGGCGTGGCAGATTCAGGGGCCTTTGAATATGTACAATTTGGCATGGGGCCCAAGGTGACATTTTGTTAGGAGGCCCAGAATTCCTAGGTACTCCCCAACAGTGTTGGGGAAGTTACCTCTAGAAAGTACAAATCCAGACCAAGGTTTTGTTTCAACCAACCAGTTGAGTACTCTGTGACTGTGACTCTTTATACTCAACTGGATGGTTGAAACAAAACCTCGGTCTGGATTTGTACTTTCTTGACCTGAACTTTCCACCTCTGTCATCACTATCATCATGTATCACTTTTGTGAGTAACTTCCCCAAGACCGCCCCTCCCTGTACTGTAGTAACAGTGTTGTCAAGAGTGATTACAGAGGGCTGTAGTCCAACACTGGTGGACTGTGCTTGGCATAGGGACCAGCCGTCTACTGGCAAACATCTCACCTTTGACCTTGACTTCCACGAAGTCACTGGCGTCCTCCAGGCCCTGCTGCACCTCACAGCGGTAGAAGCCTGTGTCATTGTGCTGCAGCTCCTCCAGCTGTAGGGTGAGGTCAGCGGGGGAGGAGGCGTAATGGAGGAGGGCTGCCCGCTCCCGATAAGCCTCGCTGACCTTCACCCGGTCCCCCCGGGCCACCAGGATGTCCGTCTCCCTGTCTGACGACAGCACGCTCCACTTGACGCGAGGCTGGGAGAGGACAGCCTGGCGGCCCGAGGTGGAGGCCGAGACTGGGGGCTGGGGCAGGGACACCAGGCAGGGCAGGGTGAGGGTGCCGCCCAGGGAGGCGTATGGAGGGGGCGTCTTGGGGATGGTCACCCGGAGGAGCCGCACATCATCTGGGGGAAAGGGGGGAGAGACCAGCACTGGGCAGGGAGGCTTAGGGCTGCAGAACTCCAAATAGCAAATATAAAAAAAATATCATTAATAAAAAAATATCATTTGTTAAAGCTGAGTGACTGGAAAAGTGCTTGAAACAGATTATGAACCGATTTAGTATATGTGTATTTGACATAATTGATAAAGAACAATTAATTGCTTTTTCCTGTTTGTATTCCATCGTTCTTCTATTTTGCTTTTGGTGAGCATATATTTCTGAAAGGAAGGTATTCTGTATTAGAGCACGAAATGAGAGAAATAAAGAGAATCTACAAAAACAGTAGGGATCCAGCACTTCTGCTGCTTGGACCCCTGGTGATTATAATTAGAGGGGTTAATGGGAGTTTCTCAATACCAAGAATGCAAAGATCGTACTTGTGTTCTTGGCAAGAGCATTCTTACCTCCCAAGAACAGACCTCTGATGTAATGAATCATGGGATTGTTCTCATTTGACAAGGATGCAACTGATGCATCCTTGATATTTGGGGTGGGGCAAGAACGACATCCGGAGATTTTTACCATCCTCTGTTCTGTTCTTCAGTGTTGGAACTGGTCTTCAGCAATGCAAGTTGACACAAAACGGGTGCGCAAGAACACAAGACTAGTCAAGTATTCATATTGAGAAACACCCATTGTTAGCGCCAGTGAATGTGTAAGCTACATAAGCAGATACATGGAATGGGATGGGATGGGATGGAAAAGGATGGGATGGAATGTCAAAGGATATGATGGGATGGAATGGAATGGGATGGGATGGGATGGGATGGGATGGGATGGGACGGGACGGGATGGGACGAGACGAGACGAGATGGGATGAGATGGGATGAGATGAGATGAGATGGGATAATGCTTTATTGGCCCCAGGGGGAAATTCAGTTAATTTGATTTGGAAAGACAGCTGTGTTTGAATCATTTACATTAGCTGCTCACTTCTGGCCAGTTAAATTGTTTATGATGACGGTTCTCTGATCCTTTAATTATACATCACAGCTGTGAAGGGTCCTCCACTGCAGCAGGTCCCAGTTCATTTTTAATACATCAAATGCTGGCATGGCCTGTCCACCCGCATACCAACGGGCAGCGAAATGTCAGCCTGGGCTAGGCCGCTTCCATCTCCGCCTCGCCTGCACCCAGAGACGGTTTTACCTTCTCAGGCTCATCAGTCAAGCCCATGTGTGTGTTTATGCGCTCGCATGCAGCAAAGTGTGAATGAAACAAGACTTCATGAGCAGCACCGAGCACAGATATTCATGGACACTTACACAGCTTGTTACACTTTCAAAAAAGTTGCAATCTACTGTAAAAATTAATGAATACAAATGCAGAATCTGTTTACACAAAAGGTAAAAGTGTACTTGCTGATATTTAAAAAGAACACATTATTAACACATTATTAACACATTATTAACACATTATTAAATGCCATTACTATGCATACCCCCAAATAAATGTGCACTAATTAGTTCAAACAGTGTATTCTCATTCATTCTCATTAATATCAGACCCCCTGCTCCCCCAGAAGGCTTTTAGTCCCCTGTGTGATAAATCTTGAGTGACCCTCTTGGCACTGGATATAATGGCCGTATTACCACCACCTCTATCATCATCATCGTCGTCATCATCATTATCAGACTGTGCTTGGCTCTTATGCACCGTAGTACAGGTGGATTCCTACCTGCTCCCTGTTCAGAGCTGGAGGGGCACACCAGGGCGACGAGGCTGATGGCAAACAGACCCAAAGGGGGGCTCATCCCAAATCTGCAAGAGGGACATCATAGCATCATAGAGGTGATACCATATAATTGTGGGTTGACGTTGATGCTAAGGTGAAAGGCTACAATGGGGAACGATGGACCAATAAGAGGCAACCCAGGGGCCAGATCGGGGGGGACGGGGGGGTCGGCAGAGAAGCGAGCACAGATACGCAGGGCAACAAAAAGTCAAAGGCGGAGAGCGACCCGAGAGCAGACAACACGGTAAAACCGGTTGAGCTTGGGAAGGCTATCAGGCCACTGCAGTCGTACCCTAGAGCATGATGCCTTTAACCCAATTTGCTTTCTTAAAATTCCGGACTGTAAGTATAATTTGCCCTGAATAACAGCCTCTGTACAAGCAAAATAAGAAAGATGATCTCAAAATAAACAGACGTCCACTGACACGGGGTAGCCATTCATCTGCTGTGTACCACGAATGGTTCGGTTACCTGACAAGGTTAAACCAGCTGGGATGGTTTTTCTCTGTAGTCTGTGGTAGTTTTAACTCCAGGTGAAGGCAGATATTTTTAGCCTGTACAGTATTTTCAGTTCACTTTTTGTACAATGACAATGAATAACGACAGTCTATTGAACTTGAATGTCACCAGAACCCTGGTGGTAAAAGACTGCAATACTGCTGTGATATAGGAAGATGGATGGATGGATGGATAGATGGACAAATGGATGGATGGATGGAGGAGCTTGAATTTATACTGACTTAATATCCATGGAATGCCCTGGAATTCATAAATGTGACTCATGTAGGAAAAACACCACCGATTTTTCCTTTAGGACTTCGATGTTCCACATTCAGCTCATTGGTGAAGTTGTCGCACATCATTTCTTATAGTGAATGAGGCCATTTTCTTTTGGGTGCAAAGGTAGCCGCATGCTAAGCGACACGTCCACGTCGCAAATCCCGCAGTGGTGCTGGATCACAGGCCAGTCATCACAGTGTGACAAACAGGGTTTCCTGCCCTCGGAGCAGTGCTCCTCCTTAGACAGGTCGGGGAACCTCATAGTGCAGGGGGAACAGCACAGAACAATCGGACAACTATCCGACAAAAGAACTTCAGATGACAGAGCAGGGGCATCAGCCGGATGCATCTAGAAAGCACAAGGCCCACTGCTGCGGGGGCCGACCTTGGTGATTAACAAGGAGGAAGCGAAAGGAGACTGCTAGAGTGAGAGGCCGTAAAAGTTTAGGCGAAACACAACTAAAGTTCACTGTGGGTGACACGGGGACCTCTAAATCAGGGGACACAGAGGACGGAGAGGGTCATATTTTAAAGGGACTGAAAGAAAGAATAGTGTGTGTGTACGTGTCTGATACAGCATCATCCAGCTGGCCTGATTCGCTGTCGCACTTGAGTAGAATTCTAATGGCGTAACGGCCAAAGAGTGTATACACACACACACACACACACACACACACACACACACTCTCCTTATTCTTTGGCAGGACCACCCTCCCCCCCCACGTCTAACCACAAGGACCCCCGCTGTGGCCCCCAGGGGCCTCTAGAAAAGGCTACATTTCCACTAGCGGCTCAGGCATCTAGTAGGAACAGCAAATACATCATTATAAATATCAGTAAGGCTCAAAAGACTTCCGCTGCCAAGAGGCCTTTTGACCAGTGAAAACAAGGCGCCCATGCCGGATGTGTGGAGATACAGCTCTGCGGTTTTGTTCTTAGAAAGTGAGCTGAAAGCAAGCCAGGATAGAGCTCGAATGTATACGGAACCTTCCAGAAGACCCTCGGACTGCTAAAAACCCACTTTACGCAAAGGAACCTGCACTCAAAACGAAGTCTGTGCTCATTACACTTAGACAGAAATAATCAGTGTACAGTCAATGCAGACACATTCAACAGCAGACATATTGGTGTTTTTTACCTAGATTCAAAACGAAGAGTAAAACCCAACTGTCCTGGGTAAAATGTAGCTGTTTGGGCTATAAATGTAAAATATTTCTGCTGAATGGGTCAATACCATAGACTGGTAGCAATTAGTGTCCGTCATGTGGATGCAGTAAATAACTGCCGCTTGTTGTGGTTCTTTAATGTTTTTTAAGAGCTTCTTTCATAAGCTACCAGAAAAAAACAAATTACAGGAAGGACTTGGTGCTGGATGAGGCCAGCCGCCACTTTCCGGGCTCGTTACCTTGACGTTTGACTTTGACCCAAGGAATAACGAAGACCACCTCTAGACATAGCTGGATCCATCGCAGAGAAAACGGAAATATCCAAGGAAAATCCGAGCGATTACTAATTTCATAATTACTAACTTCGTAATTCCAGTGGTGACGAGCATCTCGTTGGCCATGTATAATTTAACATCTAACATCCTCTCTGGTTTGTCCACTGGCGTCCTGAAAGGAGGCGCTCACTATGCCAGGCGTTCATTAAGTCTCTGGTTTTTCTGCCCTTTTTAATTAGATTAACCAGGACCAAGCCACAAAGGCAGGCATCATAACAACACCAATCCTCGGATCGAGGTGCCGACGTGAGTGCGGCTGGCGAATTACGGCATTGGACCGTTTCAACCATTATTTGGCCACATGCTGACAGAGTAACTGGAATGGAAAACGAGCAGCAACGGGTAATTTACCTGTCCCAGTGTGTGGCTGTGAGCGCAGGAACCCATTAAATGCACACAGGTCAGATTCACTAAACAGAAACTAAGCCAGCAGGAAATATAATTGCAAAAAGACATGTGGTGAGTAGGGTGAAGAACTTAAAAGTCATTGTTTTAGCCATCTGATTGAACGCGAGGCCTTTTTCGGAATAAATGTGCAAATGGATTACGCGTAAACCAAAATTGTTTTATTTAATGGTGTATTTTTAGTAGGGATGACGCGATCGAGCAAGGAAAATGAATTTTGGTTACTGAAAAATGGGTTTTGCGGGAATTTGCAAGTGCGGCAGTATGCAGTGCCAAAAGCAGACAGGAGGCAGAGCGGAGCTGCCAGAGGCAGTGAGGTCCGGGGTCTAACAAGCCCCAAATTACTGTCTGGGGGAGTTACACCAAGACCTCTGACTTGGGAGGCCAAAGAGGAAGGGTTAAGGCTTATAGGAAGGCCGGTGACAGGCCGGTGACAGGCCGGTGACAGGTGGGGAGCTGCTCCTGTACAGCCCGCTAAGGTAATACTGTATTATAAATAATAATGAGGCGGGACAGTCGCATAGACGGCACTGTTTATACACACAGATTCTAAGCCTTGCAAACCTTGGCCCTCGCTGATCTTTACTGGGTGGTTTTAACCGCTCCATCCTGGCTTCTGTTTCTCCTGAACGCTCCCCCCCCTAGCCCCTCCAGCCCTCCCCCCGCCGTGCCCAGGCCAGGCCGCCACACGTGGCTCACAGCCACGACCATATTTCCATACGCCACGAGGAACAGGAGCTGACTTCCTCCGGCTCGCCTGCGGAGACCGCAGAAGTGCTTAGGCAGACACCGCAGGCACACAGACTCTGCAGTGACTTCATCGCACGGACCAGCAGCTCGACGGGGCCGCGGTTCAGCCCGGGCTGCCTGCGGCCTGAGAAAACTCCATTTATGGAGACTACAATGCGGGCACCTCGGAGGACTGGGGCCGCCGGGCCTATAGCAGTCTAGATATAATAATTTTGAATACAGTGGCCCTAATTTCCTTTTGATGGACTGTGTGGGGTCTCTTCCAGCTGCTCCTTGGCTGAGGGCCTGGTTTTTCCTTTCACTCTTTCAGCAATGGCGTTTCAGAGCATATGAATGGACGGCGGCGAATGAGCTCATGTGACTGGGCCCACACGTCTCCCTCTGGCTGCGTTTGCACCAGCCAACATGTCAGTTCTCCTCTCTCCCGTTCAATGCGGCTGCCAGGCCGTGCCCCGTCTGCCGCGCCGCCCCACCTCCTTCCCCGCTCTCCCTTCCTCCTCCTCATGTTCGCATAGCCCTTTGCGGTTCCTCGCTGCTGCCCGTCGTTCCAGCCGGCTGTGCCCCGCCCGCCCGCCCGCCGCTCACCAATCCAGCGTCTCCTCACCTCGGATGACTCTGTCTCCTCATCTCCCGGGGCAACTCTTTCAAACCCGCAGACGGAAAAAAAATGCCGTGGGGCAACCGACAGAGGAGTGGATGGAGGGACAACAGAGAAAGAGTGCAGACGGGGAGTATATAGGTGCCTGCTGCTCTGGCTGGGCACCGCGATGGGCTCGCTCAGAGGAGAATGGGCATCGTTACTCCCTCGGGGTGCATTTACGAGCCTGTGCACAGTTCTTGAAGGGCTTCTACAAACCAGATCTGAGCCGTCTGTGGAACAACACTCAAGAAGTAACATCCTGCACCCTAAACTATGAGTGACCATAAGTTTTAAATTTTTACTTAAAGTGACTACTCCCTATTCCTTCTAATTTTAACTTTTAAAAAGTTTATAGCAGCTTAAAGCATTGAAAAAAAGGGATATGTCTACTGATCATCTAGCTTTTAAAAATCTCAGTATAATGGGCACCCATTTTAAGGTCTGCAAATGTGTTTCTCTTCAAATTGAAGGCACTGTGCTTGTGTCTCGTTTTCATTCACCGTTTCTGTGAATGGAAAGTTCACTGCAGCAGTAATCTTCACCAACCAATATGCCCTGCAGGTTTTGGTCTCATTTTGTTTTTTGGTTTATTATATGCAATGGCTTTTCGCCTCATTGGTGATGTTTAATTTAACAGACATTGACTTTCATTATCCCAAACTCCTGGCATCTCGCCCAACTGTCAGCCCAAACGCTTATACACACCAACGCTGCCTTGTCGATCTCCTCAAACCCAATCACTTTTAGTAGGGTTATTTTGAGAACTTGCATCAGCTCATATTATAAGGTCAGCTTGAGAAATGTTCCGCCTGGTGAGGTAGGGCTCAGGGAATGTGCAGGATTGGCAGTGTAGCACCGGTGGCTAACCAGACGTCGCTACGTCATGGGCTAACTCATCTAATACAAATGACATTTCCACTCAATGAAACCTCCAGGTCACCACATAGGCTTTGACTCAGTAATTCTTCAGTGAGGAAAGTTTCTTTGATAATATCTTAGCACCAAAGCTTGAACAACCTTAACTATTTTTGTTTCTGTTTTGATTCAGGAATATCCACAAATTTAAAAGCAAATTTCTAAAACACACTCAGGCCATGGGAAATTTATGTGGATGTGATGAATTTTTGAAATGTAATTAACGTTCTCTGGATTACATGAGGACTGAGTGAGTTTTGGTTCCCAGTACTGCACCATATCATGAGAAGAACATCAGCTCATTCGTGGTCTCATCTCAAACACACCCAACAACGGACTGAGTGAGTTTTAGAAATGTCTTAAATTCCCTCATGTTTGCATGAGACTCGCATATTTGAATACAAACTAGATTTCAAAATCCAATTTCCGGATAATGCATATATAATTTTCTAAAACATTTACTGATCTTACATTATCCCCATGTCCATCTGCCTGTATCAAACTTGACATAGAGATTTTGGATTCACCACAAAAAACTTGAACATCTCTGCTTTTAAACCGCTGGATCAGTTTCTCACTAAATCGCTTCACTTCTTCCCAAATTCTCCTATTAAGTTCGGCCATATTTGAAAGAAGAGTCAGACTGTACAAATATTCCCGCTCATACACGGGTGGGTGGGTCCCAGTGGGGGCGGTGCGTGCTCAGCTGGTTTGGCCCCTGTCACTATGATCAGAAGGCCACAGGGTTTTGGCAGATTAATCACATGACTGTTGGGCCCTTGAGCAAGGCCCTTAACTTACTGAAATTCTCCAGGGGTGCCGGATAAATGGCCAGACCCTGTGCTCAGACCCCCAAGCTACAGTCTCACCTGTATATGTGTGTGTGTCTCAAAGGAGAGCATGATGGGATATGTGAAAAGCCGCATTCCAGTGTACCTGTGTGTGTAAATGGCAAGGAAAGCATGATGTCATTTCACATAGGTGGAAGGGTATCTATGATGACTGTCATTGGTTACTGTTTCAGGAGCTGGATTTAGATGTTAAATTCGGGTGCCTGTATATCTGGGACTAGTAATTAAGGGGGCATTATTAAAAAGGGAGCTGCCCAGGGCTATGCTGCACTGCTGCACTGCAGTACACTGGCACGCCGTTGTCTCTTCTGAGTATAAGGAAGAATGTGTACTAAATGTTTTATAAAGCTTCACACTGTTTTCCCCAAGTTGAATTATTGACCCAAACCAACTCATTCCCCGATAATTCTTCTCGCTGAGCACATGTAATCATTGGCCTGTACCAGATAATGAGAGAAATAGGATTCGGGACACCCGCAGGGCGATGCTGGAAGTTCAAGTCACTGCTGTCTTGTGATGCATATTTTTTTTCTCTGGGATATCGAGGTCTGTGTGCAGAATTAATCAGAGGTGGACCTCTGCTATGAGAATATAAGCAAGTTGGAACACAAGGGGGGGGTTATCTAAATAGGCTGGGAGGAATTGTGGAGCAGGGCATGCTTTCACCAAACTCGGGTAGGAAACAGAGTCGGGGGTGGGGCTTTAACAGGCAGGTGGGAGGAGCAAAGCAGAGAGGCGGGGCCAGGTAATTCAGGAGAACAGGAAGGCTCCCCTGGCTAGGCTGGGAAGGGCTCTGAGAGCAGGGTGGGTCTCCACTTTGTAGGCTAGCAGAATTAAAAAAAATAATGGATGGGGAAAGGCTTTCACCACGAGTGAAGAATAATGTGCCAAAGTGAGGAACTGGCCCCACTACACAAGAATGAGAACTGAAGAAAGGGGTCTACAACAGTTCCAGAGGAGCCAAGGAATCATGAATGCGCTTCTGTTCACAGCACTGGCTTCACGAAGCAACTAGCCTCTGCCCTGGATCAACCAACCGTCGTCTGTTAGCAATACATGGGAATGGGGGGTGTGGACAAAGCAGTATGGCTCCATGGAGCCCAAAAGATAACCGCTGCTAATTAGCTGCTAACCGGCTAATCCAGGCGTCAGAGACCGTAGGCCGAAACGGCTCGAGTGATGGGTCTGACGGACATTGACTCGCTACTAGAAGACTGAGGGCTTAAATACCTAGAGAAGAGCAGCTCTGCTCGATCACCAAAGACACTACGCTCGAAATTCCCGGCAGTGCAGTTCGCGGGAAGCTGTAAAGACCGCTCTGCCACACTTCAGTCATCGAACGGAGTCCCACAAAGACATAAGAAGCTATAATGAAGTTTGCCATTACTGCCCACAATTTTAATATTAGTAGTTAAGACCAATAAAAATTATATTAGTAAAAAGCTCAACCTTACACTGGAGCTAGCTAGGGTGGTACAGGGTCTTTTTCCTCACAGACCTTCTCTTCTGTACCTACACAGACCTGGTGGCTCACAAATCATTTTCAGCCAGCTTCTTCTTTATTTGGTAAAGATTTTCTACTAATTATAGGTCAGATTCTCTAAACAAGGGGGAATCAAAAGGCCTGTTGTGACACAGTATATCCTGAACAGTCTACAAAAAACTAACCGTAAAGAACATAACCCCGGGGCAACAGTATTTAACTAGAAAACAGTGATTAAAGGATGAACAGATAGACAATTTCGTGAATTAACCGTTATTTAAACAGGCGTTCTATTGGCCCTTCAGCCTTACAATGACCATGATACTGTGGAAGACTCTAGATCAGATCTAGACAGCAGAGCTTCTATAATTAGTGTCATTTGCAACGACTCTAAGGCTAAAATACATTAACAAAACACTGCACCGGTACTGTCAGGTATATTCATTTTTCATGTTGACAGACAACTCTCAAAGCACGGGTCCCAACTTTTCGTTGGCCAGTTATTATTATCTGAATGTATCGCAACGCAGAATTTTGCGGCTCAGTAAAATTATTGCAAGCAAATGCCCTGAAGCTCCTTTTTATATCGACCGGTAGCGCATCCTATTCAGGTGGGGAGGGGGGGGGGGTAATGGAAGTAAAATGGGAATAAAAGTAACAAGGTGACACGTTTCGGTTTATGCAAATCGCTTTTACAACTTCTTTGACAATTTAATTAAGTTCGCAGGCAGCAACGGTGGAGATTAATATTTAATACGAACAAAAAAAAAGCCTTTGAATTAAATCAGATGCATGATGAACGAGCTACCAAAAGACGCCTAGAAATGTTCGTTGCGTGCTAGTTGCGCAGTAGGTTACCTGCCGTGTTTGTGCTAGAAATCATCACAGACGTAATCAAACTTTGCACCCCTGTTTCACAGGACAGACAATATTAATAAACATTTTAATATAAAAGTCAACCTACCGCATTTTTCGGACACAATTGGGGCTTTATCCTCTTTAAAATGTTGTATTTGTTGTTTTTTGATGCGGCGTATATGAAATATCCGCCGCTCTTCGCTTGGTGCAGTGCGAGTGGGACAATGCAGCGCTGAGTACGGATGGGGCTGCCAGCGAGGAGCGTGTGAAAGCTGGAGGAAGGACAGAAAAGACGGGATGCGAGCAAGCCAGGGTTTAAACAACCACGAACAGCCCACTTTTTTCTCTACATGTAACCCACTCTTGTCTAATTGGAAGGGGGGGGCAGAGAAACTGGGATGGAGGGTTGAAAAAATTGCAGCGTAATTGTACAGGCTTCTCAATATAAAGCAAAGGGGTCACTCAGATATGCAGGAGGACAAACCGAATCGGGGATTTATAGGCGCGTGCATGATTTCGTGCTATTTCCACTGTGTGTAAAACGGGGGCATTCGATTCTGTTGAAGGGGGGTAAAGGACCGGCCGATGGAAAGAAAGTCGGTGCTTGAACGGTGCGTCAGTGCAGTATAGCGGCAAGTTGCTGATGCTGCACGCCGAGCAGCCAGAGCAAGCAAGCGGGGCAGGTCTGCGCTCGGCGCCTCGCCTCCTGAGACACTCTGAACTTAGTCATTTTTCAGAAAATTATAAAACTGCACGGTGTGTAGGTGACGTTTACAGAAAACAACACAGCTCTAATTAGCCATTAAAACTAAGATCAAAGATTTAATTTAAAAAAGTGAAAAACAATGTCACACTAAACTGACTATAATTGTTGCTCATAAGAGGGGCGTTGAAACCGGGTGGGGGGGGGATGTGATCATGACAGTACAGCAGAAATATATGGTCATGCGATAATTACCCTGATATGGGAGAAGTGTGGCTCAGCGGGCTAGAACACTGTTTCTGTGATCGGAAGGTTCCCGGTCTAAATCCTAGGGTTGGTGAGTGATATCACTGCTGGGCTCCTGAACAAGGCCTTAAACCTCCATCTCCTCCAGGAATAAGCTGACCATGCTTTCTCAGAAACTTATAGTAGGTTTGGGTAAACGTGTGTGCTAAATAATGTAAATATATGCCACATACCTGTTCTGTCACATTTGCATGCACTGTCAGAAAAAAACAGTACCAATTTATACCTTTGCTTGTCACTGGGGCTGTACCCTCAAAGGTAAGTGTTCCCTTTAAAATACAGAAATGGACTCTGATGAACATTTTTGTACCATTGCGGGGACAATAATGTTTGTACCTTGGGGATGTTCCTCAGAGTCCATTTCTATACCTCACATTACACTAAAGGGTAACCTTTGAGGATACTGCCCCAGTGACAAGCAAAGGTACAAATTGATACTCTTTTTTTCTGACAGTATGATTACAAGTTTTGGACGCAGTTCTTGAGTTTAGATGATGACACAAGTAAACACGCATGAGCGTGACTGGTAGAGGTAAGATTTCACTTTGTACCAGAGTAAAGGGGTAGAAAGGACAGAAGGTGTGAGAGTACAAGCACCTTCAGAAAAAATGGTAAAAATTTGTACCTTTGCTTGTTATTGGCTCTGCACCCTCAAGGCTCTGCCAAATGTACCCTTACCTGTAGATAAATGTACCTTTTAAAGTATAGAAATGGTCTCTGAGGAACATTTTTGTACCACTGGGGGGACGTTAATGTTTGTACCTTGGGGATGTTGCTCATAGTCAATTTCTATACCTTAAATTATACTAAAAGGTACAATTACCTACAGCTAGGGTACAATTGTCAGACCCTTGAGGTAATAGCCCCAGTGACAAGCAAAGGTACAAATTTTTACCCATTTTTCTGAGAGTGACGGTAGTTAGTTGGCAGGCAGGGGTGTGCTGTAGTATAACGGCTGGAGAGGGGGGGCAATAGGAGCATGTCTACTGGGTAGCTGGGTTAAGCAAGAATATTGAGTAGGGGTTAGCATGCAGGTGGTGTAGCTTAGCAGTGAGGAAGGACAGCTGATTGGGGGGCTGCTGGGGAAGAGCGTGAATACTTCCTTGTAGCAGCCCCCCACCCCCACACACACACACAATCAGTGCCTACAGCGGAGTGGCAGGCCTAGAATTGAACACAGCTGCATGGGCAGTGGGTTAACAGCAGCGCACGAGCAGGAGGCAGGAAGGAGTGGGCAGGGTGGATTAAACGGTGGAGAGGCTTGATGGACTTCATCCCTCCTCTCAGCCCAAGGTGCACCCTCCCCAGGACGAGTCACTTTAAGCTCCAATTGCACCATATCCCCTTTTATCATAAGGGCTTAACTCTTTCACAAAGCTCATTTGCATTACATTATACTGTTGCTTAGCAGTCCTCTGTTTTTTTTTTTTTACATCGGAAGCAAATGGCCTTTTACAATTTTTTCCCTCCATCTATACAGCTTGACATAGTAGTGAAGTAAGTTAGAGTAAACTTCCTGCTCACTATAATGGGGTGAAATGCTCTCCTGGAAACTAAGGCATTAACGTCTCTGTTGCACTGCGACCGCCTGTCTTGCAGTAACAATACATTTCCTGTGCACTGGCTTAAGTATGTGAAGCTTCCTGGGTCGCAACGCCCCAGTCGAGTCGAGTATTATTGCCACGCAGGATTGGACCCATGGGAGCCAGAACGCTTGAGCTGAAGCAGATCTGCATGATCACTTTTTTCCAGGCCAAGGTGATACAAACTAAGAGTAACCTCATCAACAGAGGTGGGTAGTTTGGGTCCACAGAGTAAAAGTCCAGACCAAGATTTTGTTTCACCCAACCAGTTGACCATTCTGTGACTATGACTCTTTATACTCAACTGATTAATTGAAACAAAATCAGACGAATCTTGATCTGGACTTTTACTCTTTGGATCTATAGCGGTAGATGGCAATTACTGCAGGATACTGTGATGGCTGTGATTCTCTCATAGGGTCCAGTTGGAAGGTCCAGGCCCAACCTCCCATAATCCTGTACTGGACAATTAGATGGATGGATGGATGGATGGATGGTCAGTGTAGGAATTCGGTTTTTGGCAGTTTACCCAAAACACAGAAGCTCAGGTAACGCCACTTATCCACACTTATGAATCGCTTTGGTTCACCTGAATGGAGGACCACTACAGCTGCCAACAGCAACACTTCATAATGGTTATTCCTTACAGCTCTCCCACCCAGATGGTAACCAAGCCCAACTTCAGCTATCCTTCAAGCGATCATGACAGGGTGGTCCAGTCGTTCAACGATTAGTCTATCGTGCAGCTGGCGACCCTGGATAGAGTTCTGGCAAATGATCTCACCAATGCTGGTCAACTGTGTTCAGTTCCAGATATGGAGTTACAGCACGGCAGCCAGAACAAAAGTAACGAAGGGGGGGGGGGGAACTAGGGAAGACAGGCATATTACCAGACAGATGCTTCCTGAAGAGCATGACACACCAGAAGCAATAATGGATTATTAATTTCACTCCAAGTGATTTGGAGTAATAAAGTTGGCTTGGGTACCAACATGTTAGCGGTCTCTGTGACCGTGGAATCTTGCTTTTCTCGCAGTATCTTTTAAATGTTTCAGTACCGACAATTTTGCAGATGGTTGCGGTTAAGGGTGCCCAACTATTATTCGTGAATTTTAACATTTGCGGGGATCTTCGGAAGTTAAATGTGAAGGGGTTACTGTATTTGCCTAAGTTTAAAAAAAAACGCTTCAGTCAAGACTGTCCAGTTGCTTCTACATGTGAAAGACACACTACGCCCTCTAATTTATACGAATCGTCTCTTTGCTTGGCTACTAACAATCATCTCAGGCGAACTGTTACCAATAAGGCATCAAAGTAACTAAACTCAGGCACCACCCTTACGGGACAGAGGCAGGCAAGACGGCATGGCCAGTTATTCCCATGCTGCCTACACCCCGCGCAAAAAAAGAAAAAGAAAAACCGCAAAACGGACGACTACAGCAGACAGCGGGGTTTTCAGGAGATGACGGCTACCCGGGTAATACCTCGGGCTAACCAAACCCTCCACTTCAAACAATGCTGTCTTTGTAACTTACTGTAAAACGCACGGCAATCCCAGCCAAAAACTGGTACAAAAGACATTCAGCTCGTCCATACTAACCACCATGTTGGAAGAGGTAGCTGCCAAGTCGGATAAGGATAGCCCTCCATACGTTCGTCACTTAATCTGGCGTGGCCAGAGAGGAGGGGTTTAACCAACGCCTGCATCTAGAAATACTTTAAAGTTTGTCCTTTAGCCACATATCAGTGGGAAAAGAAACATTCTGGCTTTGAAAATGCAAAGGATAGATTTTTCTGGGGATGGAAAGATGGCGAGTATGCTGACTGGTTCCTTTATTCTACATCCTTCTTCTCATGCTTATGACCTCGTTCAGCTCGGTCCTGTTCTTCCCCACGGAGGACAGCCAGGTACGGAGGAGCTGCTGGCCCGGGCGGCAGAGATGGCCCATCGTGCAGGTCGTACACGCATCTGAAGGAAGAGGGGAGCCTCAGGAAGCCGTGAAAAGTGCCATCTCATGAGGGTCTCGCACACGAGCCAAGATGGCACTCAGATGGAACACAGAACAGTGGGGTGGAAGCTCAGGGGGAGACAGTCTGTAATTCATTCCCTAACCCCATTCCAAAAAAAAAAAAGAAAGAAAATGAAGGGGGGAGGCACATCCAGAAGAATCTTTTGAGAGCAGCAGGGAGAAAGTTTGAGGTATAATTATTGTCATGGTGTAGAATTCAGTGTGAAGGAATAATGCTGACTCAGTCTACCCCAAGGCACAGAGGGTGGCAGGAGATTTCTGAAGGTGGGAGAGAAGCCCATGTGGGCAGAGACTGACAGGCCTTCAGCCACGACACAGTACAGCAAGTTCCCGGTATCTCCACCCACTCTGAACTGGTGTCAGCACGCCTTAGAAGCGGTCAGCCACAAAGCCCAGTGACAGGATCCTGTACATTATCCTGCCTCATATTTCAGTCTGGCAGCTGACTGGGCACCCCGAAACTCCACCGGCCTCACACAGAAACCTCAAGGCCAGACCTGGAAGGACCTGTGGCAGCCTTCTGCCTCTGCTGCCAACTGTGGAGCCGCCCAGCTGCCACAAACCAGTGCAATAGCAATGGCTTCATTTGCTGTACTTCCTTGGGAAACCAGACCGCTCAGTCAGATGGAGTGAGGCTGTCTGAGAACCTGTTAAAATGTCTGGGGAACAGATGCTACCTGCCTTTTGGTGAGAATTTTGAGGACAGTGGTAAAAAGAAATATATTCCTTTGTACAGCTATTTGAAAAGCTACAAAAGCTTTACAGTGGGATCAAAATCACAGTCTAACAACCAGATATTCTGACACCACAACTAGTGTCTCGGTTGCTGCAACTAAACATTTCGGTGAACGACGAACTGCATGAACAACGGTGACCCCATAAGTTTATAATGGAGCTGAAAAATTCTCACCGGTGAAAAATACGTCACAGGTGTCGTAAAATATTACTCGTGTGTTTGTCGTGATACTGGCATAAACAAACCTGCGTTGCCAATCCTATAAAAGTCCAGCACATACATAATACTTGACATAATGTCATTATGCACATGATATAATACTTGGTAATGATAATTAGGTTACTGGTTTATGCTTTTACTAGGCTGTACTATATAGCCGAGGTGGGTAGTGGGCAATACCATCTTAGGTTTAGTTAAGTACACTATTATGCTCACGCTATGACAAAATCACCTAACGACGTATTTCTCAGAACGTATCCCCATTACGTGTCGCATGGCTATAATCAAAAAAGCACTGACGAGAAACTAAATTTGCCGCAGGTCTGAAACTTTCTTCTGGTAATATACACAACCGGGACTTTGCTGCCCACTTGTGGGCAAACTTGACAATTACATTAACAATTACTATAATACTGCCAAGTAATGCTAGACAATTCACATGGGAACCAACACTAGTGAGTTATTCCAACTAAGTACCCTGTACAAATATCACAACAGCATATGGAAACATCTTAGTATTACCTCAGACCTTTCCACATTAGGGTTGCCTTCAATCCAATCAAAAAACAACTTCCTCCTGTTTCCTGTGAAGCCATCCAAATTTTAATCAATGCATTACCTTAATTTAGTCCTGGGGTTTCTTTCTTAATGAACACCGGAACTATCCAAATTGCTTTATTTGTACACCACAGCTAAATTAGCAAATTTAAAAAAAAATTACCGACTTAACATGTACACACAAATCAAACATTTCTTGTCCATCAATTTATTTAGATGCCACATATTCTTGCACATTTTAATGCATATACATCAGACTGGATAACTGAAGACCAGCATGACGCTTCAAAATTAACAGCCTGAAAGCCATTGTTAACATCTGATTTCAGATCAGGTAGATTTTTACCTGACAAATCATATGCTGAGCCACTTCAGCAGAATACCTAAGGTTTGAAGTAACACTCAATCTACCGCAGGAAAACTGCTGTACACAGTCAATTAAGAGGAACTTCAGGTACTGCTGGCCCATCCGCTGGACTTTCCATCCGTCTGTCCATCCATCCGCTCACTGCTCAGTACCAGAAGCTCTTCCTCTGCCTCCTTGTCTCCTGGATACCCAGCTTCTCCATGACCTCCTCTTCAAGCGTCTTCAGCGAGGCCATGTAGGTCTTCTCCAGGGCATCTTCTGGGGATGTGTCCTTGGGACCATCTTGGGGTGCAGAGGGCAAAGGTCATCAGGTCACTCTACTCAGAACCTTGCATTTGAATAAATGTTTAAACGTGACTGAGGACACATCTTTGTATATAGCCTGCAGGACAGTGAATAAACGGTTACATTACAGTAAATTTCAGAGAATGCAGGAGGGAATGTGCTGGAATATGGCTCATTTTTATTTGTGCAAAGTCAGAATCCAGTTCAATTAAATCAGCTGACAATAAATTTGAATGCTGCTTAATTAACTGAAGAAAAATCATTTGATCAGGCTCCAGCATTTTATACAGACGACCCATCACCCAAGCCTCACCTTTCCACTGCTGGGTTACAATGCCATCCTTACGCTGAAATAACGGCTTGGGGATAATTCGGCCTGTTCGGACTGACACCCGCACCTTCTCCCCCTCCTCGGTGTATCTCCACTCCACTTGCGTGGGAATCCTGCAGAACAGCAAAATGCGGGTCAGACTCATGGGTGGCCAGAATTCTGGCGGGAGCAGCCTTGGGGGGCACAGCCTGGAGGTCAGTGTTTTGAGAGACCAGGGACTCAATCGGGGCCTACCTGTCGGAGGGATCGACAAGGGCGATGTCTTTCAGGAGGAGGGGGGCTTCACTGGCAATGTATGTGCCCCTGTAATCTGCAGATTTTCCAATATATCTGTAGTGCTGAAGGGGAGGGAGCAGATAAGAACTGACCATCACCAGCAACCAGAGACATCAGAGACGTGTACTGCCTGTATTTCTTCTGAGACCATGACTTCATGGTCTCATCTTTTCAATAGCAAGAAACTCCCCTGTCTGAGACTAAACCTTTTTTTAAAAAAATAAATAAATAAACAAGAAAAAATGTGGAAGCAAGGACAAAGGAAAGAATCATGGAGGTTGCACACAATGCACGTAGATGCTACATGGTCCACCTTACCGTGTTGAGACCCTCCAGAATGACCCAGTTACGGTTCCGGAAAACCTGGACAACCTTGCCCTGCTTCCCTCTGTCTTTACCAGAAAGTATCTCCACCTAAAGAAACAAGTCAATTTAATACGATCTGTATATAAATTATATTTATACCGACTTTAATCCCTACATCTTACGCCAAGACTTGTTAAAAACCTTTTGGCTGAACGCTGGTTGTAAGTGATTCGCCAACAACCTAACAAAAGCGGGTCGTGGCTGAAGGTTAATGCTTACTGTATCTCCTCGGAAAACGGACCAGTCTTCGTGGGCAATGGGCTCAACAAAAACCTTCCGTCTCTTCTTGCCAGGTGGGTTGATTCTCTTCGCTGCGATGCTCCACGGCCGGCTGGTGGCGTAGCGGTAGTCGGCAGGCACCATCACCCGAGCCGCCATGGCCAGAAGGGCTGTCAATCTCATACTGATGTCTGTTATAAAATAATAATAATAAATAATAATAATAATAATAATAATAATAGACTAATTAAATAACTACTTATTTGAGTGCTAAACGCGTCTCGCAAAAACTGAAAAGCTCTGCTCATATATTTAAGTGTTGCAATAAACAGCATTCAGTGCACTTAAAATCAAAAGACAGATTTGCAACCAGCAACTACCTCTAGCTTTCCTTTCATAAAAGCAGTGCACTACATTCCGCTCACAATATCACATAACCTTGGATCAAAAGCATACTTGTATCCAAGCTAACTGCTACAGCATGAGCATTTTATTTCCATGTTGCCCTTTATACACCGAATTAAACGAAACGCGAAACGTATACGAATTCATATTTACGCTCCCGTACCTGTTTTATTACATATTTAGGTCATCATCCTCAACAAGAATGAAATAGATTGCATGCGATAGGTAACATGAAAATACACAAAATGGCGATACGCACCTCTGCTAGCCTCGGCAGCTTACGAAATAAAAACTTAGACGGACAGATAATCTTAAAAATATACACAAAACAGAAACATCTCGTTTCCTCTCAATGTCACATGTATCTCTCACCTATGACCTTTCGCGTGCCCGGCGCCAGGGCTTATGGGTAAAAATTGAGCACGTGATCTCCAAAGCCGCAATGGGGAAACGTTGGCTATCAAAATGCGTAGTATTATGACCAGCAACAGAACGAGAGTATTTGCTTAAGATCCACCAATATTAAAGGGCAGGAGTTTATCTTGATTTCAAATCCGCGTGTTACACAAAAATACTTTGAGATCAATGGCGGCTTAATGCTAATAAGTTACATCTTGGGAAGCCCGAAACCAATTAGGTCTTTTAGACTAGTCCTTTTAATAAGCCGATTAACGGGTGACTGGTTTGCCGTTGCTTGTTTAAATTTTAACGATGTCTCTAAAACCTCCGTTTCCCTTTCTAGTGACGTTATCCTAATTTCCCCCATACTGTCCCGCGCACAGCGACATGCAGTAACATGCGTCGATTTAAAAATTTCGGTAGTTACTAGAAAGTTGCTGGCTTCACTGGGAGGCTTTGATTTCAGTTTGAAAAATATTTAGCCCTCATTACATGCAAAACGCAACACTTTACTGTAGCATAAGATAATTTTACATTTTAATTATTGTAAAATGGGGGGAGCCCGCCTCTGAAGCAACTGGAATTTGGAGCTTTGCTCCAATGCTAAACTCATTCTGCCAATTACGATATTTTAACTGTTAAGTCTTTTGTTCACAACGGCAGCGCCCCAACCTACTGAGCCACATGCTACCCCATTTTATTCCACACAAGATTTGTAATCAGGGTGTGACTACTTTACAAGACCCATCAAAAAATTGACTCACCTTTTCATCCTGATATTCCCTAAGGCAGCATGATGAACTTCAAAAATGATATATATATTACCCTCTATAAATTAGTTACCTGTCACTGCACAATGTACAGCAAGGGTTCACTTAATTTTATTGGACATGTATGACCTCTGTTTCAAACACATTTACTTTTCTAGAATGTAACATGCAAGAATAGACTGACCTAATAAATACTGCAGAACTGTTCAGTCCGTTGCTGATTAGTAATTTTACTGTATATTTTTGCTCTTCTCAAAACATGTATCATTGCCCAACCCGGTTCTTGGTGACCTGCAGTCCACATTTTTGATCTGCGAGCAATAATATGGACTGTCTGCAGGTCCCCATGGATCAGACTGGGAAACACTGATCTAGTCTTTTTTTCCTGACTAAAAAATAAAGTCAATCACTCTCATTGCACCACCCAAGAGCTGTATGCAACTTGCTACAGACTGTAGAACAACAACAAAAGCATGGGTCATAATCGACATGTTTTATTGTTTTAACCAAACAGACTTGAGGCTACAATAGAAGAGAAGGCTGAGAGATGCAAGCTGGGCATCATTCTGCCTAAAAAGAAGGATTTCCAGGTTCTGCCAAGAAAAAAAAAAACTTATGAACAGATCAAGGGCTTCTGTAAGCGATTAGACGGGCAGACTACAAGCATTTAATTTTGCCAATCTTCATCATGATGTTTCAGATAAAACAGATAAAACAAAGAATACCTCAAAAACCTCAATCAAGTGTCATGCAGGGCTTACGAAGAAGAGCCAGAGGAATGAAAGGGATAGCAAACTTTAAATTAATAGTAGTGAAAATATATTCTGAGCATGGAATTCAGCAGTCTAAGCAACATGTAGTGGAACCTTTAAAGAATCAGTGCTGGAAATGGGTTGAGTGTGTCAAGCAACCCGCCTGCATACATTCAGGCTACCATTTCATTATGGTTTAACAACCAGCATAACCGGGAAGTTGAGTGTATGGTTCATAACACACACCAAGACTCCCATTTAAAATTTTGCATTTGGTAACTAGTACTTAATTTGAAGTGTTTTTTTTTTTTTTTTTATATATAAATAAAGATTCCTTTTCCTGGAAAACTAGGTAGTTTACTGATACTTGGGAGACATACCATTTCTGAAAATCTTTTTAGATAATGTTAAATTCTGTTTCCAAAAAGTAGCTGAAATATATGCAATTAAATGTGTGAAATCAGTCAGGCTATTAATATGGAACGATTGCCATTAGATTGATTTCTGCAGCAGTTTGACAGTGTTCAAAATCCATTCACCCTGAAATGCATGGCTGTTTAAAGCACAGGAATTCCCCACATTTTTCAGAATTAAAACCACATGTTTTTGCTGACAAATGATTGGCATCACAGGATTTTTTTTTCTTTTTACACTGAAATGGGCTCAAAGGAGAAGGTGTCAGCGAATCTGCTTCAGTGTGGAAGGTCATCGCCCGCTTTGACGGGCGCCCCCTGCTGGCACATTACAACTAAAACCAAAACCATGTGTTGCTAAAACCTCAGTTCCCTTGCTTCATCTGAACAGAAACTGTTTTAAAAAAAAAAAAAAATTAAAAAAAAAAATTTAAAAAAAAAAAAGGCACCCACTCCTTTAGTATAAAATGTATCAATTTTCAGCCAGTTCATACAAACTCCATGTTCAGAAAAATACTGTGCCTGGAAAATACTGTGCCTTCTGGCCTTTTAAAAGTCAGAAGCACTTTTTTTTTTACAATAATTAATGCTAAATAAAAATATAATTGAATAAATTTCCGTAAAATAGAAATATTTGAAAAAAAAAGGAAAATCTATAGGATCCAAGTGTCACAAGTGACATATATTACTAAATATTTGGTCAACACTGCCGTGCATGCCATGCCCTTGACTTAAAGTGGTCTTTGCCATTTCCCAGTAGGGTCTGCACAGATACATGAAGCCAAACACCCTCAAATCTGTGCGATGCATCAAGAAAATACTTATTTGCAAGTCATGTCAAAAGGGAAAGCATTGAAAATTACTTAGATATTAAAGCCCAGAAAGCAACTATAGATTTACTTGTACTGAAAGCACAGCGACATACAGCAAACAGTTGACTTCAAATTGTAAAACTAACAAATTCAAACAAACAGGATTTCAACAGGATTAGCAAACAGCTATTTTAAATGGAATAGTATTACACATCTGATTACCAAAAGTTTCGAAATTGTCTTTTGTTCTTAATTACTCTTTGTACAGAGAAACAAAGCTGGTGTTCCCTCTTAATTAACTTGACACCTAGTGGCCAGAACTTGTAATTGCACTTTAAAGAAATCAAAATACCAGTAGGTATCCTTTTCAAACCAAGGCTATATTGTTCATCACTACTTTACTGTATGAAATCTCAGCAACTCAGCTTGACTGTAACCAAGACTCACATTATCCAATCCTGGCATGTGAATGTGTCTGGTACAATTTTAAGTAGCTATTTTCTTCCATTTTCTTCTAGGTGCAAAACCCTAGAACGCCGATGCTATTTTCTCACTCAAACCCGAAAACCCGCCTTGGTAGTTTGGCGTGGCAGCAGAGCCGTGGCGTTAAGCACTGTCTGTGACAGCCTAGGAGAGAGCAGGAGAGAGAAGGCAAGAACTGATTAGGTATCAGATGGACAGAAGGACAAACCCAAATGACAATTTCAAGTTACAGAGCAATGTTGGCACCGAATTCCACTGTACTAAATCCAGACATAGCAAGTGCTTCCCATTTCTCCATGCCTAACAATATGCGTTTTTGAATCACTTAATTCGACAAGCTGACTAAGGCTCAACTGAATCAGCCAATCACTGCATGAAGGTTTCCCAAGCTCACAACATTCCACTAACCTTATCAGATGTCAACTGGCTCTCAGTTGGTGGGTTGGCTTGGGCCTCTGGCTTTGACTCGCCAGTGGCAGTTGGGTCTGCTGCAGGAGGTGGAGTCACAAGGGTAGCAGACTCCGCCCCTGCAGTATCATTAGGCTTTGGGTCCACATGGTCGCTGGTGGCACCTTCAGCGTTTGATGTCTTGCTCTCTCCTTTACCCTCCCCCAGCCCCTCTGCCTCAGGGTCCTTGGATCTCTTGGGGGAGGCCTGGGAAGTGAAAACCAGCTTCAGAACCGTCGATTGGTTACAGCTTGCGTGATCATGCACCACAGGCTTGCACTTTTTGTGAATCTGTACCATTTTAAATGTGATACAAAATGCATAGACTGTGACTCCACATGTGCATAAGCCCTAAGGCTATTATTTAAAACAGGTGTGCGGGCCCCATCAGCCCAGCAGACCCTGGCTAGGCTGACTGAACACTTGCACCTCCAACGAGTCCTCCGCTCTTCGCTTGACTCCCCCCTTCTCGTTTTTCTCATCAATGACGAGGTTGCCCTCGTCTTCATCACTGCTGCCTTCGGGCCCAGGCTCGGAGTCACCCGTGGGCTTCTCTGCCCCCTCTGAGGAAGCGTCCTTCTTTGTCGGCTGTGAATGAGGGACTGGTGAGAACACAGACCTCCTGGTGGACGAAACTGCCAGCAGGGGGCGAGCTGCCTCACCTCGTATCCCGCTGCCTTAACCGTGGGGTTGTTCTCAATCTCCCAAAGACCCTCACTGAAACCTTTCCGCTTAGTGGGCTTCCCAAACTTCTCCTTGCACTCTTCATATGGAAACAAGTCCTTGGGTCCAAGGAAAGCCCTGCAGAGATTCACAAATCACTCGTAACACTCAGCCATAGAGAAAGCCAACCTCCAATAAGGTTCCATGGAGACAATACCATTAGCGATGCGCTAGGCTAGCTAATTTAGACAACTGACTATAGCATGACCTTCTCGAATATGCTACAGTAGTGTTTCCCAACTTGTTCCTCAAGGACCCCCAGATGGTCCAAGTTTTTGCTCCAGAACCAAATTGGGAAACACTGCACTACACTATAATTCCAGAAAAGTGAAACTTTAAGAAAATTACTTTACAATTTTAAACGACAAAAACCCACTCTATGAGGATCGTACGGTTGCTCACTGGGTAGCAGTGCATGTTTACACCTGTGTGTGTGACCCCTGCTGGTATCCCATCCAGGGTCTACCTCTGCCTTATGCCCTATGCTGCCTGGGACAGCATACTCACGTCTCGTGCGTCCCAAAGAAGAACACCTGGTACTTGTTGGAAGGAGACTTGACAGCACCTTCCGGTAACTCATCAATCTGCAAGAGATGACCCAAAAAAAAAAAAAAAAAAAAAAAAAAGTACAGCACAGGTCAATCAGCAGAACAAGAGTGTTTCACCTAAGATGTTGCACTAAGATTAACTAAGCAGGTTTAGGGTGGGGATGCTTGTTATACAGAGAATGCCATACAGCATTGTTAATTATTATTCCATTAATCCCATGTCACTCCATTTGAAAGGATACAAAATACCTAAGGATTGGGGGTTTCACTAAGAATTCAAGCCGAGTGAAGAGTGAATAAATGACAGTAGTTCTAAGTGTTCCGTAACAAGATACACATGGCATGCATTTACAGGCCTCAGAACAGCAGCTTCTGTAGCACAGAAGCTCTTGGTTGATTTGGGGCATGCTTTGAACCCTTTTTGAACAGAGAGCACCATCTAGTGGGGTCAAAAAAATACAGCAAGTGGTTCATTTGGCCATCACTAGAAGCTGGAATCAAATTTATATTTTTACAGACGCAAGAACACTGCTTTGTGTGTTGACAAGTTATGGCAAAACCACTAACTTATTTGACACACTGTATTGGTAGATAATTTCTATTTGGGTATAGTTTATTTCTTTTTATTTGTTCGGCTATTTATTTTTTCATTTTATAAATAATTGTAATATTATTTGTAGTGTGGTATAGCCCAACAGAAGCCACATGGGCCACAAATACGCTGTGATGTCATCTATAGACTGTGTGCAACTGGCAGTTCAAAGGTCAAACGCTATCCCAGAATGCCACAGGACAGATCGGGACATTGATATTCTAAGCATTTCTTACACTGTCCAAATGTTTGCCATAGTGGTTTTCATTTACCTGTATAATAACTGCAAATACACAAATAATTAAAAGAAAAATACAGCTCTTATGGCATAAAGAAATGGGTGACCCTAAAATTATGGCTTATTCTGGGAATATTATGATAAGATCATTTTTAGACTAAACAGAGGAAGAGAGCAAACAGCAATAATGTGGACAGATTCAATCATCAAAACAAAAAAGCATGCTACAGAGAATCCCGAAGACCCAGCCAGAGGACAGGACATTCCGGAGAAACACCATTTGCCAGGGGCTGACTTGTCAGCATCCAATAGTAATAAAACTGGTAACTAGCAGAAAAGCATTATGCATCGTTACAAAACCTAACTTAGCTGTGCATTAAAGGATGAAAATTAGGTACAATCTCAGAAGTTACCGAAAACCGGGGAACAACACAGCTACAGCACAGCCCTGGGGAAAACATTATACCAAACATATCAAGTGTTTTCAGAGAAAACCTGCAAGCAAATTTCAATGAAATGACTGAAAAGTGGAAAATCTATGTCTTTCATATTGCCTGTAGCTCCCCCCCAAAACACAAACACACACACACACACACACACACACACACACACACAGGAACACAGAGCCGTTATGTCCCGCAGCCTCCAGTTTGCCCTGCTGGCGCCTGTCCCAGCAACATCTGTGGTTGCCAAATTATGATTACAACTTCCACCCTCCACCCCCCTGCATGTAGCTGCTGCTGTTCAAACTTGCTCCAAGGCAACTAGCAGTCAAAACTCGTTCATATCCATATTCACAAGCACACAGACAGTTCTTGTCCTTCAAATCAACACTGAAAAATAAGGCCTTTTTCCCCCCTTATTCGACATGTGCCTCGATTTTGGTTTCTCTGTCCCCTTGGTGAGAACATAGATCAGTCAGATGTTTAGAGATCATCTTGACTTTTCCCAGTTCTCCACAGTTACTAATCAGAGCTACAGAAGGAGACACAACCTGTCCTTTGCTCTTTATCTTCGCTTAAGGGCAACCAGCCAAACCAGTGGATTAAAAAAAGGACAATTTAATTGCCCCGGAAATAATGAACAACCGATGACTTTACGTTTTAATACTTTCAACCAAACACATCTCTCCCCAGGAGAATAAAACAAATCTGAAATCCACGCCTTGGTGAAGAAGCTTTGTCCCAATATTGAGTTCTATCCAGACTATTAGAGCCTTTGCCAACCCTGCCAAATGGGACACCCTTATACACCCCACTCCACTGTTGTCAGGAAACAGGAGCGGGAGGGGGGAAAGCACACTGGGCGGTTGGGCCTGAGTCACGGTGCAAGCACCAGCCAGCCACCCGCCCGCTCACAGCGCTCCAGCTCGCTTCCTGGCGGGTGCTGTGCCAAATGTTCAAACAGCCTCCCCAGATCGCCTATCAGGGCAAGATAACACGGCTCACTATCAGACTCAATGTGAAACGGGGCACTGTAGCAGCCCAGGTACAAGACAACATAATAATCCCGAGTACTGCGGTGGGACGCTAAGGCAAAGGTACTGTATTTACAGAATTCCAGCAAAAGAATTTCCCATTCATGCATCTCTTATAAATAGGTTATGATGTTGTATATCCGCTCAACACAACATACATTTTATACTACATTTTGTACACCCTAAGATTTTAAATAAGCACTTTCTCTCGATGAAACATACCTGGCCATGAAAATTTACAACTAGATAAACTGGATACGCCCTACAGTTGACACAATAACTTCAGAGTAGAATTGGAAGGCAATGTGAGACCACACGTGTCACGCGACTCCGTGCGTCTTAGCGGAGGGCAATTGAAAGAAACGTGTAGATCACAACCGATCCAATAAAGGTGTACTTTGTATCGCCTTCCCAGACTTACTGTCAAAATCTTTGAATCCCTATGATGCAAACTACATTGACCAGCACGAAACAACGACTAAACTTTCCATGCTTGCATGTCTGTCCAAAAGCGACTTAAGGGTGGAGGAAACCTCATTATTTACACACACACAAAAACAAAAACCAAACTAAAACCATCACACAATATCTAAAATATTAAACCAATGTGCTAGACTTGGGTTATTCAAACAGTAAATCAACTACATTTGGCACCCAGTCTTGTCAACTCCTATTGTTCACACCGAGCAAGGATGAATGAACCAACTGAATGCATCCTGCAAACGGCTCGATGAGAGTATACAAGTAATTTATCACGACTGGCAAACGACTGCTGGGATGGTGTTTGAATAGAGAGCCATAGAGGCCATGGAGTTTGCTGCGGTTAATACGTAGGTAGCTGCCTAGATGTGTGATACGCGCATAGTAATCGACGAAAGACTTGGTGAACACTACAGTGGGCATTAGGCAACCGTGCCTACAATTATCTACTGTATTTGCCCAAGTTGTGCTGTTGATCACACAGCGAAGCCCCTTTCCGTGTTGTTATCGCTGCAAACACGCTGCTCCGCCTGAGGGACTTTGCGCTGCGTAACCGTCCGCCCACCTCAAGCCCTCTCGCCAGCCCTGCCTCCCCCACGTTTCCCCATTTTCCTAACAAGTGCCGCGCTTTACGGCACCAACACGGGTACCGTGTCATTCCCGATATTTTCCCCAAATGTTCAACAAAAAAAACCCATTCCCGCGCCGGTTTTCACACGTTGAGCGGTTAAAAAAACGCGACTAGGAAGAGCTCAGGGAGAAACCTCCGGGTGTCTCGCCGACCCGCCAAATTATGGCAAAAAATCGGCGAGGCACGTCTTGCAGTGGAGGCTGGTTATCTACACGGCTAACGGGCTAAGCTCGGCGCTGTAGGCCGCGTCAGACACTGCGTGAGGCGGACCAGCGCGCGGGCTAAGCCACGCGCACGTTATAGCCCGCTCGTGCTCCGAAAAAGTAACACGCCAAATGCCTGGCAAGGGAACACCTTCCAGCAGCCCGGGCAGCTGGCAGGCAGATAAAGTTTGAGCGGGGGACCAAGGCTAGGCCCAAAACAAATGTCCACAATTACTGAAGATACAGTCCGCGTCTCCCACCACAGCAATAAAAGTTGCGTCGGTTTTAATGCTTGCAGGTACTCACCCTCGCCGGCCAGTGGGGATATCCCTTCATTTTTGCAAACACAAGATCGCCAGGTTTGTATTCTCTTTGCCTGTTCGATCTGGGCATGTTCTTTTTTATAAACAAAAGTAAAAGCGTTAATAAAACCTTCCCCTTGATAAAACCGAATAGTATGCCGTTTATAAGCACTCGCGCACTTGTTAGCAAGCCGGGTTGCTTTATCACTAGATAAGCCACCCAGAAGAACTTTTTAAAAATCCAAATTAAATCGTGCGTAAAATGGAAACGTGCCTGCAACCAAGATTCGCAAAACTTTACACTGCGCTGCCGTTTTCGATATTTACGACAAGCACACGACGGCTTGTAGTTACTTTTTGCCGCTCGCTTTTATCAGATATTCCTGCTTCCAGAGTTCCAACCCACACTCTCTTCTATCTCCTTGTTTTTGTTTGAAATTGGAACCGCTTCCCTCCTCCGAACAGAAGCACCCCCTCTTGGTTCCTCACTTCGAGGTTGATTGGTTTGGTCTGACTACGAAACACGAAGGCTCTATAGTAAGGCGTCACGAATCGATAGGTACTCACAGCGCGCAGTGGATATATCAAACAAGAAACCTTAAAAATAATTAGTTGTGCACATTATTGTGTACATTATTTATACTAGGGTCGTTTTATTCACTAACACTGAAATTTAAAATTGTTCACACGTTATGCACATTTTATATACAAACCAAAACACGTGTTCTGAGTGAGTGTAAAGTGCTGATTTCTAAATGTATTTCTAGAAGGAACTGCAGACATAATTAGATACAGAAGTACAGCATGGAATTAAATCCACTCAAGAAAAACATATGGACAATTATTATACAATATTATTATATAATATATGCACACGTTTTAATAAATTTTTTCATATTTGCTATGTTAATAAACCACGGCTAAATGTCCTTTCTCTTTGTATAAATTACCAATAATTAATCAGCGTTTCTAAATATTAAATAATCTAGTTTGGTAAAATACTAAATATTCTTCTCTTTTAAAGGTATAATTATGATTTCATGAAAATAAAATAGGTTCTAACTGATAAAAAGGCTTCATTCTATTGATGATCAAAAGTGGGAGATTTAACACATATAATCATCAGTAATTGCTGTATTGCTGTACCCTTGTATTAAACTTTTAGCTGATTTAAAAAAATGAAAACAGGTAACTTGACTTGGGCATAAAGTGGATTTGACATCAAAAACCATGACTGTATTAGTGTGACCTTTGCACTGAATCTGGTTAAAAATAGCTTTACTTTTTGCTCTAATCAGATATTTGGCTTCATATTATTTGGTATTTGTCACATTCCCCTATCCGTTTATTATTTAAGAATATATAGTACTGTATATGAACATTACCTAACAGGATCATTCCCTTTTAAAAATCCTCTCTAAAATTCATTACTATAGATTACTCTTATTTGCCAACAGTAACTGTAAAAATAAAACTACAACACTGCTGGGCAATTTCTGCAGAATGATGGCCTACATATTGTAATGGCTAATAACTTGAATCATACCATGCAGTATTGTGATTAAATGGAGACCTGTGGGCTGTGACCTGTACTACGAATCGGGGTTGCTGGTTTATTGGGATAATTTATCGGATTTAAGGTACCACAGTTTAAATGGACTTCATATTCGTTCACTTACATTTTGCCCAGACTACCTTAAATCCGACAAGTTACCTCGATAAGCCAGTAACCCCGCTTCGTAGTACAGGCCCCTGGAGGAATAGACCATGACCATGCATATGACTTTTCAATATTTTAGCATGAAAGGTTAATTCCTGATAGGTGACGTTGTCCCAAATCAGTACCTGAGGGGACGATATCATTTTTGTAGCTGTTTTCATATAAACATTCCGGTTCAAGAAAAATGAAAAAATTCAAGGGCGTACGTAATGTTTGTCATAATCCGAAGGTGTAATGTTCCAAAAAGCACTTTCTCTACAGTCCTTTGAGATTATTTTGATAAGGTATAGATAGTTAGCAAAATATATTTGTTTGGCTGGCGTTTATACTCAGAACTTACAGTTCTTACTGATTTATAGACATGCGATGAAAACATATTATTTGTGTCTGTGCAAATAATCATAAGTATCACTATGTAATACTCACAGTTTTGAACATTTTATTATTATTTGCATTTGATCAATAGTTTATTGTTTGCTTAATTATACCCATTTAGGACTCTCACGGAACTCAGGTGTGTTTTTAAGTAAACTGAAAAATATAGGCTTGTGAAAAACCAGACAAGAGCGCCTGTCATTAGTCGCGTTTTTTGACTCGCTGCGCTCGTATGATCCTCACAAACATGAACTTATGGCGGCCCAATAGCGCTGCGCAGCAATGATGATCTCGAACACCTCTATGTCTGAGTATCTGCGCAGGATCGTAACGGCGCTGCTGTAGGCTAAATACAAACAATAATATATCGCTGCAGTTTAGGTATTTTCATGCTAAAAGGAATGTCGAGTTGTTCGTTTTTTAAACGCCATGTGAACACCTGCGTATTAAATGGACAATATGAAAAGTGCTTTGGAGTCTAATTTAATAGTTATAATAAACGAGCTGTCGCGGCCTACTTAGCCCTCCGTCGCCCATCCCCGGCCTTAATTTCGCGCAGTCGCTGGATCGTAGTGCCGCTTCAGGCGAAGGTGTTCGTTCATTTTTATTGGGAAATCGCTTCATTTAATACGTTTTTCTCAAACGGCTTTTTGTTGCAACAACGCTGATGAGAAGGTAACCTTAGTATCACCTAAGTTTACCTATGTTAGTATGTAATGCTGCAAAACCAACGGGATTTAAATGCAGCCTAACCTACCAAAATTAATCGGTATCTTAAAAGGGGAATTAGCGTGTAACAAAATACGTCTTTTGTGACCGGGTGTTCTGGAATTTTTAATTGAGAGAATTTGGGGGGAAATACTGCTAACAGATTTTATGCAGAATCATAGGCGTCGCTTTCTAATTTTCGTGCTTGGCATTGAGTTTGCATAGGATAACAACAACGTGTGTGGATTACATTTTAGCAAGGTATATTTACGGTTATTGCAAAACAGCCATGTCTTTGGTAGCGTATGGTAGTAGTGATGAGAGCGACAATGAAGACTCGCCAAAATCTTTGGGAGCCGGAGGCAGGAGCGCTGGACTTTTTGCGAGCCTCCCTGCACCTAAAAATCCCAGTGCGGAGGGTCTCAGAGACGCTGGAGCAAATGTCCCGCAACCTCGAGATGTTCCGCAGATCTCCGGGGCCACGCAGCTTACGGCGGTCCCCAACCCCAGCCAGAAGTCGGACTCTAAAGGCAACGAAGACACATTAAGTCTGGGGTTTCCCCCTTCAAGAGGTACGTTGAGTCAAGAGTCGTCGACTGGACTACTTTTAAATTTGCCTAAACCGAAGAAGCGCACGGAACCAGTGAAAATTACCATTCCTGAAATTCAGAGAGGCGACGTGAGTATGAAGAAATCTGACAACATTCATTCATTCTCTATTAGTGCACGATTTTCTTTTAACCACACTCGTTGCTGGCCAAAATATTTGGGTGGTATTCACAATTATTGAATGATTGCAGTCACAATGTTGGTAATTAATTTATAGTAGTTACTTATCATAAACTGAGTCACTTCTGTCCCAACAATAACTGGAGAGGCAATTTAATAGTTCATTTTAATATAGCCATTTCTGTTCAAGAAATTAAACAGGGGCTTTGCCATTCCTTTAACAGTCAGATTCAGATGAGGATGAACCAGCGAAGAAGAAGGTACTGCCTCAGGTAAGATTACTCTGGAACTGGTCTGTATCTGGGAAGTGCACCATCGGCATGCACTGACAGCGCCCCCTGTACGTTGCTCGCTGCTAGGGCTCTGGTGGCGGCCTCTCATCTCTCCTGCCTCAGCCACGGAATCTGGTCCTCAAGGAAACCCAGCGGCCCTTGGTGCCGCACACCCTCACCAAGCGTCCTCAGGAATCCAGGACACCGGCTCGCTCGCTGGGTGCCACCCCGGCTCCGGGGGTCAGCGCCTCACCCTCAGCTATCAAGGCAGCGGCCAAGTCTGCCGCCATGCAGCTGGCACGGCAGATGGCGCAAGAGGAGGACGGCAGTGACGAGGAGGTGGCCCCCGAAAACTACTTCTCCCTGCAGGACAGCGCGGAGCCACCCCCAGCTACCCCGGTTTCTGACCCCGAGCCCTCTGCTGCCTCTGTCCTGCCCCCACCCCCAGGCATGGAGGCCCCCTTTCAGTCAGATGCCCCTCTAGATTTTGGTTCCGTCCCACAGGGATGCACGAGACCTAGTAGTACCTGGGAAGGGCAGGAGATGGATTCATACTACCCTCAGTACCAGGATGCCACTGGTCAAATTCCAGCAGCGGATGCATTTTCCCAGGTATCGTCAATGCTGCACATATAAACAATTTAATTATACTCAAGATAGATGCTACACATTGACATTTTTTTTTATACGTGCACATAAGTACATCAGCCATATTAGTATCACACTCGGCACATCTTTACAAACTGCTCTTGTAGGTCAAAAGGTGATAAGTGACACTCTTCCACTGCATTTGGTAGTGACTTGCCACAAATCTCATCTAAACGTTATTTGCAGGAGTACTACTCTGGGGACTACTACCAGGAGTCTGAGAGTGGCGTGACAGGAGAGGAAGAAGCCGGTTCATCGTCCCTGTTTGACGATGAGGCGGTAAAGCAAAGCCTTTGTGTTGTTTTAGTGCAAGATGTTTGATAACATTACACTTGAATAATAATCATTCAAAAAAAGGAAAACTGTAGTTCAATGTATGTCTGATTACACGTATAAAGGATATTGACTTCTGTTGTTGCTCTACTTAACTTAGAATGGAGGCCTCTGTGTCAGGATTACGATAGTTGAAAAACTTGAATGTGGGCAAACCCTTGGGCACAAATGATGCCCAGCTTGTCTGCCTGGTTTAGGGCTTGTGTGTTTAATGTCAGTTGCCCTGTACTGCAAATGGGGCTGATCCCCATCTGATGGTACCCCACAGTTCCGGCGACTCCAGGGGAAGAGGAACCGGGGAAAAGAGGAAGTGAAATTTCTCGAAATAAAGGGAGACGACCAGCTCAGTGGGAGCCAGCAGTGGTTGACCAAAAATATGACTGAAGAGAAGGAGCAGCGCAAGTCGTTCAGCAAGGTCTGGGCCTGAGGGGAAAGGCTCCCAGCACCCTGCCACCCGTTTCATTAACTATTGGGAAGGATTTTTAATGCGATGTAGATCTAGATGGCGATCTTAGGATATACTAAGCCAGTGTTTCCCAACCCAGGCCTCAGGGACCCCCAGACGGTCCATGTTTTTGCTCCGTCCCAGTTTCCTGCCAGACAGTTCACATTTATGCTCCAGGAGCTGGGAGGGAGCAAAAAAGTGAACTGTCTGGAGGGTCCCTGCACTGTCAGAAAAAAGTACCCTCAAAAGGCACAAACTGGTACAATTGCTTGTCACTGGGGGTCTGCCAGTTGTACTCTTGCTGTCGGTAAATGTACCATTTTGTCCAATATAAGGTACAGAAATGGACTCTGAGGAACATTTTTGTACCATTGGCAGGAAATTATGGTTGTTGTACCTTAATTCTGAAAAGCTGTCCGCTAAGCAAGAAATCCTGCTTTGTGGAACACCCCCCAGGGTGGTACCCTTTTGACTGTCAGTGTGAGAACCAGGTCATGAGCTAAACGTTTACCTTTATGAACAAACCTTAGCAAAGTATAGAAGTGTTTAGTGTTCAAGTGGCTGCTTCTCAAAACTTCTGTCCCTTTCATCTTAGAAAAAAGGAGAGCAGCCCACAGGACAGCAGCGGCGTAAGCACCAAATCACGTATCTCATTCACCAGGTGAGGGCATCGATACACTAAGACAATACACACCAAGTGTGGGTCCTCTTTCTCCTACCTGTTGACGTTGAGTAGCGTGATATAAGCCTACCGTTAGCTTAAAGTAAGACTGACTACTGACAGTACAAGTTTGATTGGTTGCAGGCAATCGGGTGTAACTCCAGGAATTGCCTGATATATAAATCCCCTGAATGTTAGATATCTGTTATGGACTTAAGTAGGTCATGTAATGTAGTTTTACTGTGCAGGATGATATACATTCATTTGAATACAATGTTTCCTTAACACAGTACCAGAAGTTGTTTCAGTGCCTGACATTAAACATGGCCATCTTATTTACAGGCAAAGGAGCGGGAACTGGAGCTGAAGAACAGCTGGGCCGATAACAAACTGACCCGTCGGCAAACGCAAGCCAAATACGGCTTCTAGTGACCACTGTTTGAGTGGGCAGGAAGTAGCCTGGTTTGGGGCGGCTAAACTGGAAGAACACATTAAAACTAAAGTAGTACCCCTCAGCTTGGGTCATATTTATATATGAGGTTTATTGTTATAGGGGCTCAGTGTTGCATCTTATTGACCTGATAGAGCAGTATTTCCCAACCTGGTCACTGCGGTCACACATATTCCACATTTTTGCTCCTACCCAGTTCCGCTAGATCAAAAACATGGACCGTCTGTGGGTACCTGAGGAGCAGGTTGGGAAGTACTGATAGAGGATTAGACTCCTCAGGCATCTGCTCCCTTTGTCTGCCTGTTTCCCCTCTTTACGTTTGTGTAATTCTACCATTTAGTTTGGCTTTTTTTTTTTTTTTTTTTTTTTTTTTTTTTTTTTGGTACTCTGGCACTGTTGAAGCTATAGGGAGGGGGAAAAAAAAAAATTCACATTCTAACTTTGGAATTTCCTGGACTTGTGTAGATACATGTTGTGGAAGTCAAATTGTTGATAGACTTAATCCTGGGTTGGTTCTTGTGGCTCTAGTTAGTCATACAGAACAAATTTATTGGTTAAAGTAAGGTTCCCTTGAACTGTCCTGAGGGACTGCTCTAACAAAAAACCATTGATACTCCGATCTCAGATGTTGGTGATAGACAATCCAATTACAGGCAGGATGACAGTATTGCTGGCCTAGCAGCAGCATGGAGAGTCCTGCTACTCATGGCTCTATTCCTTCAACACTTCATGCAGTGCAGGGTCACTGGAAGCCTGGAGCACATCCCGGAAAGCAAGCTGTTGGACACACTGGATGGAATGCCAGTCCAATATCTCTGCAATTTAGAATAAACTTGTGTGGAAACGGGGAGAATGTGAAAACTAATGTATCCGAGAACATGCTGCAGTTCTCGGAACCACTCTGCTATATTTTCAAAGCAGTAAAAACCTACAAATGTTTGTCAAGTGATAACTAAACATGGACTTGGGTGAAGATGTATCAGCTGAAATTAAATGTATAAAAGCACCTCCACTACATGTTGTGACTACCTGTGCTTCCAGCAACCTACAGGAGCCGCCTGAGTTATAAAGTTCAAAATAGCCAGAGACCTACTGGAGCAGAGTATATTGGCAACATACAGAATGCAAAAGATCAAGTATCAAACATATTTATTAAGGCAGATTGAACAGCTGGAGCACAGTGTTCTCATCTCTTTGTCTTACCCACGAAAAACTCATTACATGCAACAGTCAGTGTTGCCACCAGAACAACAAATTCCTTAAAGTCCACTTCACCATCACGGTTCTCATCCAGGTCATTCATGAGCTTTTCCACAAACATTGGATCCTGGCTCACCTAAGAGGGAAGACAGATGTGTTTGTTCTACATCAGGGTTCTTCAACTCTGGACCTCGATTCCAAATCCAGGCCGTGTTTTCAGTTCTCCCAAGTAGTTGTTTAATAATGACTGATTCGGATTGGTCAGAGGCTTCACACCTGACTGACAGGTAAAGGAAGGCTGGAAAACCAGCAGTGCTCGGACCTCGAGGACCGCGAGTTGAATAACCCTGTTCTAGATCATTTGGCAGTTTGTTCATTTTGTTTATGCAGATAGCAATGTGTCAACCCAGTCCTTGGGGGACCCCCCCAACTGTCCACATGGACCATCAGGGAGTCCCCAAGGACTGGATTGTCAAACATTGTTTAGCATGTAAACCCAAGCTTGCCAAAAAACACATTGAATTCACTGTGGGAATTCACCTGGAACAAGTGTAACATGGGACGCTTAAGGCCAAGGATCAAAAACTCACAGCAAGGAACTCGCGAAGCTCATTTTGCAGCAGGCTCTTCATTTCTGCATTACTCAGCTTGTGCTCGTCTCCCTCCTTAGAAGAGTATTTGTGAAATACCGCGATCAGACTCTCCATCACACTCTGAAGCTGGGAAGACATTTTTCTCCGAGAAAGTTTGTCTTACAGGAACTGTGGAGGAAAGTTTCATGGAGTAATACTAGAAGCCAACTAACCTGCCAGTGACCTGCTAGTAGCTCTGCACAAGAATGAAAAACATTTTATAGATCCAAAGTTAATCAAATGCACAACTGTTCAGCTGGCTGCTCGGAAACTTAAAATGTTCATCCAAAAACTCAGACGCAAACCTTTAAAAGCATTGTATCATGAAAACATTACTTTGAAGAAAGTCTTCTGCAAAATGGTACCTTGGTAGGTTGAGTTTACTCATACATACCACAGAGCATATCAGACAGGATTACACACAACTGCTTGCAAGCAAGTTTGTCAGCAGCAGATAGAAAACACATGCTTAGACTGTCCGTACTTCAAAATTCCAAAAGCTTCCTAAAACCTAAAAGGGACAACTCAATAGTATGTATGACTTCATACCATTAAAACAATCCAATAAAAGGATTTCCTTCTTAAGAAGCAGAAAATGTTTCAATTTATAAATGTTGTTCGCAATCAGTAGGAGAGTGTTAAGCATAGATCATTAAAGACAGAAGAGGAGTAATTTATTTAGGTGCTCTTGCTTATTTATGCAGAGCCAGCCCTGGCAACCACAAACACAGCAGTCAAATAATTAAAAATAACTTACTAATTCATAATTTCTTCTGGCACATTATAAACCAATACTAGTTAAACTAAGGATAACCTTACCTAGTGTACCTTGTTAATGTCAACCAGCAGCTCCTTATGTTTGCATCCTAATAAGGCACCTTCCCTCTTAAAAAAGGACGTCTTACATGTTCATTAACAACACATGTGTAATTGCTAATGTCTGCTAATTACTGAGTAGTTGAAGAAATTACTCCCCAATTACTCCCCATTTTTTCCACTAATATTTGGGATGATGCTATTATAATTTTCTGCATTGTGTGTAGTTTTACGGCCAGGTTCTATCAGATAAACCTTAAAATATACTGAAAAAGATGAGGTTAGCAGGTTTTAAAGACACGTAATTTGTATATTTCTACCCAAACGTATTTGCACCTGAGTTTAATTAATGTCCAAAGGATGACTGCAATTAAGTGTTGAAAAGCCAGCAATCTTATCCGCAAAGGGCCAGTGTGTATGCGGGTTGTTGGGATAACCTGTTGGTCAGCTGTCCAAACTCAGTTGTGAGGACTCTTCAGTCAATCAGTCCTCTAATTAGTAATCTAATTAGGGAGCTGCAGTGAAAACCCACATACACAGAGACCCTTTCCGGATGAGCAATATTTCCCAATGCGGTCCATGTTTTTGCTCTCTCCCAGTGGCCTGCATTTTTGCTCCCTCCTGTGAGCTTGGAGGGAGCATGGACTGTCTGGGCGTTCCTGACAACAGGGTTGGGAAACACTTTCCTAAAGGGTTACCTACACCAGACAGAGCAGTAAGGGAGGTGGAAGCTAGGAGGCAGCTCAGGGGTAGGTAATGGGTGCAGTGCAGAACAGAAACATTTCTGTTGCAGGGTGTCAGTCTCATGTTGTCTTCAGCTTTTCAGCAGAAAATCATAAGGCCAGCAGGGGACTGAAAATGTAGTTGTCAGTTTAAATCTGGGTGATATTGGGACTTAGTCATCCTGTACCCAATTAGAGTGTGTATTCTCTTACTCTCTCTCACTCTCATTCATATAGACTTATAGAGAGTAAACACCAAGAACCTAACAATGGGAATCGTGAGCTCATTAGTGAAGCAAGTCTTCACAATGTTAAATTCCTTATAATTCAAAACTGATAAAATTACTGTTTCCTTCCTGACTTAAAGTCCGGCTGTCTGTGAGAGGGGGCTAATTTGGAACAGGGGGGGATGTCCCCAGAGTCCGCTGCTGTGGAATAGGGTCTGACGAGCAGGACGATCCCTGACGTTACATCACCACAACACCCAGACACGAAGATGCCCAATTTATCCTTGCGGGCTGTGCGCTGCTTCAGTAAGAAAGCCAGTGGCCAAGACAGATGATTCATAAGGAATTCATGAGACATAAAATTCCAGCCTGTAGGGGCATGACTTGCAATTCAGGTGGTCATCACAAAATACTGACGAATCAAAGAGACGAAAAAAAGGAATTGTCAGCATTTTTAATGGAATTCCTAGTTATAAGTCAGATGGCCAGTATATGTAATCAGTCCATGACCTCTGCAATGATGTATCACTTTCACACCAAGTCATTTATCTGCCTCCCGCTGGTCAGACATTTGGGTATTGCTAAGACTCCTCATCTTTGGGGAAATCCTGTGCTTTGCCCGGTTGCTGATTCTCCAGCCAGTTTTTATAACGCTGCGTTCTTGGCTTGATGAACTTCACCACGGACATTGGGAGACGGATGGCGTTGATGCCGTTCACCTGCGGAAAGGGAAGGCCAGGACGGCGATCACCAGTTACAGATAGTGTTTCAGGGGCTGCATCTTTAAAGCCCTGAGACAACTTCAAGCCTCTGTTCCAGTGTTTCTCTTTCCTGTTCCTTGCGAGCCATCCTGCGTTTACGTGGGTGTGTTTTCGCTCCAGCTGAGTACTTGAATTAGGCATCACTGAGCCGTGACTTTGATCGATAGAATAAGTCAAATGCATTACAATCTCCAACAATACATTTCTGCTAAATCATTAGATAGTTAATTAAAAATTGACTCTTAAAAATGAATTTATTGATTATTAATATAATTAATGCCAATTATTAATTACTCATAGCCTTCAAAATAACCATGTAATGATATATCCAAATACAATCATACAACATAAATTCTTTGGTTTCAGGTTTTACAAATTATTATTATTTTTTTTTAATCATAATTGCAGCAAGGCCTTAAACGTTTCATAATTTACATTCAACCATAACATTCTTAGGGGCTTAGCTAGTCTGTGACACAGACTAAACAGCAGATGGCAGTGTCCAGGATGGAGAAACACTGCTCTAGTCAAATCACACATAATGCTGAGTGCAGATCTTCTTTAGTAGAAGCTACTGTTTCAGCTCATAACCATCCTTACTTGATTCAAGGTTGCATTTTCCTTCAGGGCTTTTTTTCCCATTTCGTCTGGAATAATGGCAAAATTGCATTTGACCTTGTAATTTTTTACTGTACTGCGTAGACACCTATTTATGAATTCTAGTCCCTATAATCGTCTGTACCAGTGTTTCCCAATCCGGTCCTCAGGGACCCACAGCGGTCCACATTTTTGCTGCCTCCCAGCTCCCTGCCAGACAGTCAACATTTTTGCTCCCTAGGGAGAGAACAAAAATGTGGACTGCCTGGAGATTCCCAAGGACCAGACTGCGAAACGCTGGTCTATACTGTTAACAAGATGACTGAGTGCCTGGACTCTGTGATGAATGGTAAGTCATCCAGCTGGCAAAGAATTTCAACACCATGGCAATCAGTGCAAACAGATGGGAAAAGGATTCAGGCTGGAACAAATGCCTGAGGTACGGCAAGCCAGCAGCACCTGAGCATCAGTCAGCCATCCGGGTCTCACCTTTAATCAAATGACCTACCTTGACCTCGCACCAATACTCTCCCCAACGTGTGATTGGTTCGTCCGGTAGGGTCAAGGCTTCAGGTGGTACAAACACTCCCAGCTTCAGGGAAGGAGTATGGGGGAGAAAGTCAGGTATACATATTATTCCAGCAACAGTGGGGGTGAGAAGGTCATTTCAAAGGTATCAATTCTGCAGTGGATCCCACTCTGGCAGAGCAGCAATCGATTACCTTTAAAAGGAAGTGACGACAGACAATCTCCTTTGACAGCACCCACTGCACATTGTTCTTCATCCCCACCTCCAGCCGGCAGCGTTTCAGGTACTCAACAGTCTGTGTGCAAACACAGCGATGGCCATGAGAGGGCAGTATAACTACTCTACAAAGTCCCATGTGAACTGGTTGAATCTTAAAAGCAAGTGAAGATTTAAAATTCTCTTCGATGGCAATACAGGACTAATACTCACGCCTCAGTGTATGACATTTGTAGCTAGGGGAACATAAACTCAAAGGAAATCCCATGCAGAGCTTACCAGGACGTTACATATGCCCAGCAAGGATGGTCTTACCATCTTTCCGGTGCGTGTCTGTATCCTGTCCTCCACTTTCCCCTCACGCAGTTGCTGTAATAGGGTTTGGGAGGTCAGCAGAGACAGCTCAGTTCTTCCTGAATACTAATCCAAGCTCCCTTCCCAGAAAAGGCAACACTGAATGAAATGTGGACATAGTAATTTGACAGGTCTATGGAACCAGTCCACAAGCTTAGTACAGAGCTAGTTTAGTCTCTCCCTGACAAAACATAATGAAGGATAAAGCAACAGGCTCAGAACTACAGATTAAAATACCTCATACAAGCCAGCACCAAATACCGTAATCACTGTAATACTGCAAAGTTATGAGACTAGAAAAACTGCCAGCTTGTAAGCACTAATTAGCCCATTAACCAGGATGCATTTTAAATCCTATTGCAGTTGGTGACAGTAAGCATTCCTTCATGCAAAGGCAAAGGTGATGAGCCTGACCCGTAATTCCTCTTGGAACATCTCCTTGTTTTCTGGCGAGGCATACACTGCCAGGCCCTCAGGCAGAAGCTTGTTGCGGCCTAAAGCTTTCTTCACGAAAACTGTGTCACCCCGGCCTCCCAGCTCTACAAACAAGGACAAACACGCATGAAATTACCAACAAAAAAATATGGTGGGTCTTCACTGGATAACAGTATCAGAAAGTCTAATTGTAAACACGCCTCTGGCTGGCAGACTTACTAGGAACAGTCTGTGTCAGGATGAGTTCCATTTTTTCGGGCTTAGCGGCGTGCTTCGTATCCTCCACAAGTCGATAAACGCGATGTCGGGGGGGGTAGAGCCTAGGGGGGCGTCCTTCTTTTGACAGTGGAACCTGCCACCATCTTTCAACTACAACTGTGTTCTAGAATTGAACAGAATAAAGATACATTATTAATCCCTGTGGGGAAATTCAATTTTACCCCATTTTTCTCCCCATGGGAAACCTGGAGGGGTCACATCAAAGGGGCTGCCATCCTGTGGGGCCCCGAGGGATGAAGGGCCTCGCTCCAGGGCCCACAGATATGTGACTGTTCTGTCGAGGCTGGGCTCCAACCAACGATCTTCCGATCACAGGCTCCAGACAATTTCGTTATGCTTCAAAGTTTATGCTTATTATATAGGTTACACACTTTTACCCCAAAGTAAATTGTACTGTGATGATTCCATTAATAACGGCAATTAAATTTGAGGCAAATTTCCTGTTCTAAATTAAAATGTGAAGCTGATCCCGACAACTCTGCTACTAAATGCACGTAATTGTTTTAGTTAGTCGACTGAATTATTATTGGATAATTTGTAACTGCAGGAAAGCAGTATTGTACTGTGGCAGTGAACGGTTCAATGTTCATTCCTTAGAAAACACCACTGTACTAATTACAATACAGTGAAAATGAATATATTTTAGTTTTACGTCTACTTCGTAAGTAATACAACTCTTGTACAATACAATTTGATTTCATAATCACAAACACGTTAGCCCTGCTAACGTGAACGTGATATAGTCCGTAGCTACAAATTTCCCTTTAACTTACGAGGTTACAAAAATGCAGTATACCGGAGAACAGCCTTACCTTGCAAGCTGTTTGCGAGATGCGCTGAACAGTAGAAACCGTGACTTTACTTAGATCCCGGACCAAATTTTGAAGGACAAAACGACTATGAGCCAACATAATGAGCTATATGGCTAATTATCCTTATCATGAGGGAGAAAATAATAATAAACTCCTTCTGACAGCAAAGCGTAAAGCTCTGTTATAATCGGTGGTTTATATTAGTATACAACATTTTAACACATAAACAACCCAACTAACACTAACAGTCTACTTGGAAATTGCGGAACAGCATGGCGCGACACTAAGCCCAAAAAGCCCCACTTAGGTGGCCACCGCGAAGCCGGATTCATTTTGGAATCATTTTGGTACTCGTTAATAAATATAAGGTACATGTATATGAAACGTTTGTTGCTTATTCCAAAAATGTTTTAAAATTTAAACATCGGATGATCAAAGAGTGATATCACAGTCATATGCAGTTTTATACGTGCCCTAAAATACGTGCTAGTATGAAAGACGTGTGCTCCAGAGACTAATAAATAAAAAATATTGGCGTAGTTATTTTTGTTTTATTTAACTTATAATCATATTGATGTACTTCCTCACTTCCAAGGCGATTGCATACACGACCGTTTTGACTGAACAGTACACATTTGGGGGTTTGTGATTTGCTCTAAGTGTATGTACTTGACTTAATATAATATTGTGCTGTTTTGTTGATCTAGCCATTTTTCTCATTAATTAAATGCTTATATCCAAAACATTACCTAATCTTTATAGTACTGCATCCCCTTGTAAGGGCTCGAGATGATTATTAATTCTGAGGGACCTCCTGCTGGTGCTGGCATTTCTATAGAAGTTACCTTAAAACCATAATAAACTAAAAACATACACGAAGCTGCACACATAAAAAGATATCACTTTGCAGTGAAATATTTAAACACAAAGCCACTGGAAAAAACAAATTTTACTCGGCATAATTGTATGGAATTTAAGCATATGATTTAAATAGCTGTTTTATGCCTTTGCCAACTTCTCAAAGTCATAGATAAGATGAATTCTACTACTTTGAATGAATTCTTACAAATTAATTCTACAACTTTGTAGATAACATGAATTCTACAACTTCCCTGAAGTAACCAAGACTTTCAGCAAATGTGTAATAGTGCACTATCCATACATTGGTATTCACTTGTCCTATTCAGGGCTGTGGGGGACTGGAGTCTATCCCAGAAGGTATGGGCATAAGGCAGGATGGGGTGCCAACCTGTCGCAGGGCACACTCACACACCATTCACACACACATGCACACCTATGGGCAATTTGCTAACTGCAATTCACCTTAGCATGTTTTTGGACTGTGGGGGGAAACCAGAGTACCTGGAGGAAACCCCATGATGAACCATGGCAAACCTCAGGATGGAGACTTGAATGCTGGTCCCAGAGGTGTGAGCCGACAATGCCAACTACTGCACTATAGCACTCAAATAGTGTATTATAAAAACAGAAACCAAACCTACCCAGACAGGGATTTTCCTGACAGCTAACCCAGTAAGAGGTATCAACCAGCAAGAAAGGATGGAAGGTTAGACGTACCAGACACACAAAACACTTGCAAATGGCTGTAGCACATTTATCAAATTACTATTATGTCCCATCTCAACCTCCATATTCCACATCTCTGCACACCACACGATTAAGCTACACATATAATAAAAGCTAATTTTAAAATATTACAGAAGAATTTCCCATACTAGCCGTTCAGATTTATGCATAAATTCTGCTGTTTCTGAAGACCGTTCAATGAAATTCTACTGATTTATACAAAGGCTTTTTCATTAGGTAGGAGTAGAAATCTCATAGCCGCCCTCGTATGCTTACTGCCTCTACAAAACAGAGTTCAAAGTAAAATATAAAAGGAATTTTTAGCACCGATATCGTCGAAGCTTGAAACATTTTAAAGCTTGAAACATTTTCCAAATAATAAATGCTATTAGGCCTACAAATTAATTAGGCGGTGATAAAAAAACATTTAATCCTGAAGTCATTTACCAGAAGGAAAGTAAAATGCTCTATGGTTACATTTAACTATGTGGCTTTATCTGGCTTTCAACACTTCAAGGATTAATTGAGGTTATAAATAAACGATCCCCCAGTATCGTTTTTCTGATTGCTTCACGGATATAGCAAATGGATTTCCCGATAACCACTTCGGATTATCATACAGTAGTAGCTTGTCTGTTGTCAGACGTGTGAATCTGGCCCCATGTTCTATATTAAGCTCATTTACACCAAGGTTACAGCATCACTTAATACTGTAAGATACAGTAGTTACATAATGTTAAGGCTTTTTACATTTATACGACAAGACTGTCATACATATTTACATATGGTAATAGGGTAATAGGGTAGTTGTTATGACAGTGTTACAGTATTAGATATTGGCTAAACATCTGTTATCTGTTCAAAGTAACACAGTCAACTTGTAAAATTGGTATAAAAGCAACTTGACGACATTGTTCACCATGAAATACTGGCAAAAAGCAAAAAAAAAAAAAAAAAAAACCCACAAATTATTACAAGATAAAAAACTAAAGACTAAAAGTAAATGCTAGATTTGTAAAGCGTACAGCACAGTTGAAAGACTACAGCAACACCCCACATTTGTAAATACCAAAATTTCTCTAAGAATGACCTCAATCATTCCCTTACGTTGTACACTTGAGTTCTAATACTATGCCTGAGAATGGGTGACTATACTTAAATTCAAAACAGTGAGATAACAATTTCAAATGAAAACATGTAGAGTCTTCACCACAGGAACGACGCCTCAGAGGTTCCTGGAACCTCTATCTTTAACCCTAAGTGTCCAGGTGGTTCCTGTGCTTCGCAGAAGGTAGATCAGTTGATAGTCTCTCACATAATTAAAGTATACAGTAAAAATAATTTCTGTTTAATATGAATTGATATTTTTTTCTGATTTGGTATCGTTATTTAAATACTAAGGAATTTCAGCAGATGATTGATGGGGCACACGAGTTAGACTACATTACAGAGAACCAAATACAGCAGTTCAACACAGTCAAAAAGCAATAGAGTTATACTGATTTTTGTGACCCATAAATATATAGTTTCCAAAGGAAATGTAAATTTGACAGTGATATACATCCATGGTGATGCTAAATGCTTTTCAAACTAGGTGTCGACGTTATTTGTCTGTTTATGAGAATATAAAAACGCTGAGAAAGAACAGTGGCTAGATAAACCAGAATGGGGTGGTGAACAGGAAGAGAGAGTATCGAAGCAACCAGGTGACAGAAGCCGAAACAGGTCCCTTGTTGATGATCACCTTGTAGGAGACCACCTCCACCTTATGGCTGTCCTCCAGGGCCATGCAACGAAAGATTCCATCGGTGAAGGGCAAAAGTGACATGGGCGACAGAACACAGGAATCCCCCAAGATGGAGCACGGGTAACGGTGGGTGCAGTGGTCCTTCTCCCAAAGGTAGGAGGCATGGAAGGAGTACACAGGACATGGCAGCAGCACTGGCCCGTCCACATCCACCTCCACCTCCTTGGGGGAAGTGCTATGAGCCCTCAGGCCTGTAGAGGGAGCCCAAATCAGAGCCATCAAGTTAACTGGTTAAGTAACATCAGAACCTGTCTCTATCCCACAATAAAGGCTTATAATTCTGATGACTTATCTTAGATTAAGCAAAGCCAGATTCTAACTAGATTTTAGTAGCAGTCAGGGCCCAAGCTAGCATCTCTCCTTCAGATAACCATATGCACGGTAATATAATCGCCACAAAATAACGTAAACTCTATACAATACTGATCTTTGTTTACCGCGTAAGAAATACTAACTGTGGGGGAGCATAAAATGAACATTTATAAAATGCAAAATTATTTGTTATCTCTGGGGTATGCAGAGATGGCCAAGCGTATGTCTGGTTGAATGATCCTCTGAGGTCCAGAATGAGATTAATTGTGGCCTAAGTACAAATAGGCCGTCCTTTAGGAAATCTACCAGGTTTTCTGGTTTGTGGTTATTCTCAATTCTGAAACATCCTTATTAAGTCATGCAGGCCTCTCTGGATGCAAACTTGGGATTCCCGGAAAGCTGCCATTAGATTGACTCTATTGGTAAGGAGAAGGTATCGTAGGACTGGGAAGGAGAGAGTGACCTGCAAACCCTGCAGCTGATTCTCCACACTCCGACGCACTGGACTGGTCAAGGCTCTGGACAATCATGCTGGGAAAACAGATGGCAAAAACAAGATATGAAAAGAAGGCCAAACAAAGCAATGCATACAGTTTGTTTCTGAAAACTATTGACTCTCTGTGAATATATTTTAAAATTAAACTTCTATATTGTTATGCCGCATCTAAGGTTATTGGATGGATGCCTGTTGATTTCAATCTCATAAATGAAAAATTCACTCACTGTTCTAATACCATTGGTCATCAAGAGACATCCTAGGTAAGAATACACTTCTCCTGAATAAAGAAACTATGAAAAATTTCAGTCTGCCTTCAAGATTCAAGGGATCTTATTGATACTGTAATTCCATAGAGAGAAAGTATATGTATGTATGCTATAATCTACACACCATTAAACAAAAAATATTCATTTTACTATTAAGAAAAAACATGGAATTTATGACAAAACAGATGACACACCCCGTGCTGATGTTGTATTCCTTTGGTATCACCACACACATCCTTTTGCCAACATCCCACCCACAATAAGGGTCACGCGAAAGGATGCATCCCCGGCAACCGTCTCCGTAGCGACCACAGTCAGCCAATGGAATGCGCTGGACTTCTGTGGGTGAGCTCACATACAGATACCCCTTGGGACCAACGGAAAAGCGAGATGAATAGACAAGTGGTGTCACCGTGGAATTTCACAGACAAAATGTCAATAAAGACTGAGCTGGGGTTTAATTGATATACAGCTCTGGAAAAAAAATAACACTCTATATTATTTTTTTAAATCTGCATTTTTAAATCCTGATTTACTCCTGGTTCTGCTGGCAGAAGGCTACATGACAGGTTGCTTCCAGGCTCAAGATTTCTAAGACATCAGTACACAAGAATAAGGTGAAACAGGAGACACTGGGAATGACCAAAAACTAGCCAGGTAAAAGGCAGAAGTGACTTTCTAATGCCAGAGATGATCGTCTGACAGTTTCTCATGAATCGGGGGATGACATTAAGTGACCATCAAAAAGAATGGGAAACATTAAGTGCGCTGCTAGGACAGTTTGTAACAAGCTCCTAAAAGCAGGACTGAAGTCCCATAAAGCAAGGAAGAAGGCCTTCATAGATGAGAAGCAGGGAAGAGCCAAGCTGGGGTTTGCAAATACATACAGACGGTCCTCTACTTACGAATGAGATACGTTCCGAGCGGCCGTTCGTAACTTGAAATGTTTGTAAGTCGTTATTCAACATCATTTTAAGGGTATATACAAGTACAAAGAACTAGGATGCTGGGAGTACGTATGCTACGCTGCTGCGCGGTGGGAGTAGCGGCCAGAAGTCATACTACCCGGAACTGGCGTGCAGAAAAAAAAATTGACAGGAAACGGGAGCCCAATGAACACAATTTGGACTTACAGTCCTCTTCGTTCGTATGTCTGAAAGTTCGTATGTTGAAAGTTCATAAGTAGAGGAGCGTCTATATATATATATATATATATATAAAAATTCACAGACACACACGTATAAATTGAGAAATTAGTGAAACAAAGAAATGTTGCTGTGGTCTATGAATTTTTTCCAGAGCTGTACATTTTACTTGGTGCAATATTTGCATGAAGATTCTGCTGGAATGCTTCGTAATTCAGTCATACTGAAGGCCAAGTAAGATTGGGTCACATTTAAAATCTCAGCACCAAATATTCCCCTTGGTGACACTCTGATTGGCACGCACCAAAGGAGACGACTCAATCAGCAAGCCAGCAAGCATGAGTGGGAGAGATGAAGAGGCAGCGTACCCTCTCAGAGTCGATGGCCACGGCTGTGACTGGACCCTCAGAACGGAAAGCTGAGTACTGTGAGATGATGAAAGCTTCCTCGATGGTGTGAAGGACCTTCAGCACTTTACCGCTCTCTACCATAGGACAGGACAAGGAGACAAGGACGGAGACAGAAAGGGAGGATGGCTACTGAATCATCTGAAGGACAAAGACCCATATACACATGTGAATTGAATTTGAATACAGTTTTAGAATAATATCTGTATTACAACCTCGTCAAGAAGTATATGGAGGTTTTACAAGCCATGGCCCTGTTGCATATCATCGCGCCTCTGGCACGGCTCACACCTGTGCCCAGGTACACCACGCTGTAATGCTCCTCATTGACAGCCAGGACTGTGTCGGCGACGATCTTGGTGAAGCGGTCGCCGGTGGGCAGGTCCAAAGGTGCCAGTCCAATTGGCCAGATCACATCCTCAATCTCCGGATGGTCCCGTATCACTCCCAGGGTCTTGGCATTCAGGGACGTCGTTACATTCTTAAAAGTGCACTAGCGGTGGAAAAAACGATCCTGTGATGATCTAGCGGTGGCACCGTACGCACTATTTTAATCTTTGAAATTCCTTAGTTATAATAATCTGGCCGTTTAATTTGTTTCAGAAGTGTATATCACAACTAATCTAAAGAAACATTAACATGTCAATCGAAGTGACAACATTTTAGCATAATCTGAGGATACATAGTGTCTATGGCAACCAGGCCTTCTGAATGGGCGCTGTGCAACCTGTCTGTACTGCGTTTTCCAGGATTTATTTATTTTACCATCCCTGGTCGGTAGCCTGCCAGGATTCCCCGGTACCCTTTCAGTCTGGAGGTAGAGAATGCAAGGTCGATGTCCTCCACAGAGTAGGCACACACCACAGTGACGTCCCTGCGCAGAACAAAGCGCAGATGAACGTCAACGACTTGACTACGATTCAAAATGTCCTGCTGATCTTGGAATCAGCTCTGTGAGTCAGTCTGAAGTACAGGATGTACAGAGAGAAACACGGTCCGGTTTGATCAGACACTGACGTCGTTTCTTTCCCGCAGTGCTCACCAGGCGTTGGCAAAGAGCCCGTACATCACACCGGTCCTCTTTTCACGGGCGGTCAACACGAACGCCTGCTTCAGGTTGTTGAACTGCTGGTGTCTGCTGGCCGAGCCGCACATCAGGCGTGCCTTCAGGAAAGTGGTCCAGGAATTCTCCAGAGTCCCCTTGATGCCACCCTCATCGATCTAAAAACAATGCATTATGGGATTAATTCCAGTTATGGACTGGAAGGATGCTTGATGTCCTCACTGATACACAATATAGGTCCCTAACCTTATTTCTCTACTCATATGTCCTCATTTATCCTCTCCTAAGTCACTACATTTGTTGGTTGGTTACCATGCAGACTCGTCCAATACAAGCCCTGTAGGGCTCCTTGTCAACGTTGGCGGTCTTGTTGATCTCACTGAAGAAGAAGTAGATCTCCTCCTTGTGCTTCACAGATCCTGGAATCACTGCTGCACCCACAAACCGGGGATCTGTACGAACAGGTTTATCAGACAGTGTAACGTATAAAGAGACTGACAAGGTAATGGTAAGCACAATCAGATGGTTACTATGGCAACGTGTGACTCATCATGCTCCTCAATATTCATTTCTGTGGCAATTTCTGCGCCTATAATTTAGCAAATCTAAGGGTATAACGTTTTAAAAATTGCCAACCTGCTAATTTTGCACTTGTCATAACTGCACTTACACCATGCGAATGGAACAGCAACAACACAAACCTTAAAAATGCTCTCTTGAAATTTTCCCTGTAAATATTCTCTATAACAACGTCCATATATCTTTTCCAGTGCTGCACCTTCAGTCGGCATTTCAGACCCCCCCCACCCTGCACCTAAATCTATTATATCCTAAACTCCACCAATGCCCCTCCCCCTTACTCACTCTGAAGCCACTTGTTTTCAGTCGTTATGAGCCTGCGAGGACCAAAGGTGCGGCGTATAAAACCAGGCTGGTGTCCTTCTGCTGTTATTGCTGAGTAGAAATTGCCATCTAAGAGAGAGAAACAGGGGGTGATGCAGACCACCGCATGTCCCAAGCCGGACCTCTAACCACAACTGGCCTGCCAAAGTCTGATTTCCCTCTTAAGAGAAGCATCACCATAAGAGTTTTAACTGGTCAGAGGTGGGTAGTTCAGGTCCAGAGAGTAAAAATCCAGACCAAGATTTTGTTCCAACCAATCAGCTGAGTATAAAGTGTCAGAGTCTCAGAGAACTCAACTGGTTGGTTGAAATGAAATCTTGGTCTGGACTTTTACTCTCTGGACCTGAATCATCCACCTTTGCGACTGCCCCCCCCACCCCTGAAACCATAAAACCGGAGGAATGGCTTCCTGTGACAAGCAAAAACCTTGTTAAAAAAACCAAGTAGAAATTATCCGCATGCATTATAGGCGATCCCCCCCCCCCCATTTAGGTGGGCATCAGTCACTCTATTTTGCATCTAAGACACCCTGAAATTTTGTTTTTCTAAATCCATTTAACGTCTTGTCCAGTACTCTTGTGCAATTTTTATAGTCATCAGGACCCCAATTTTGTAATTTTATTGTCGAGGAACCCCCACCGCTCAGAAAATTTAATCGTGGTGGATCCGGCTGGGAGCTGAGTCCCCCTAAGGGCCAAATCATGCTAGACTCACCCCTGAGATGTATTAAAACAATGTTTCAACCTGGAGGATTCATTAGTTACCTGCCATGCAAGCAGCACAAGCCAATTCACACATTTGAAACTACAATCTAAATCTATCCAGATCATTCTAAATACCAGAAATATCCTGGGCTAATATAACATCAGATCATTTCTACTGCAGACGCTGTGTTTCAGATGCTGTGTAGCGGCTGGTGTGGTGCGTGCAGACGCAAAGCACGCACAAGACCATTTATCTTGCAGGGGACAGTGCAGAGTGTCAGGACCACATAACTGAGTCCCCATAACCCGTGATAAAGACCTGGGGCTTTTAGCTCTGAAGATTAAATGATGTTAGATGGATGACCAGCAGCAGGTGGGCACACTAAGGCTTCTTTCTGACGTGACAGCGATTTACCTGCAGTCAAGCTGACGGACGGCTGAGAGGGAATACGTGAAGCAACATCTGCGGCTGTAATGTCAACTCCATTGACTGTACTGTTGGCCACCGCAGTCCCATTCACCTGCAGAGAGTGAATCAAATTCCATTTTGCCAGTGAGGCATTATTACAGCAAGTACTCTGGTACTGGCTGTTATTTCCCACTTCAGATATGAAATACACTACGCTAGCCAAGGAAGTCCAAGGTAGTGGGCACAATCTAATACAGACACACCATGGGCAATTCACCGCAACACCAACTCAAGAGCGAGTTTCAAAAACTCACTCAGTCCAGTTTTTGTCGTTTCTGAGACGAGACCGCCAATGACCCAAAGTCAGGCTTCCGCATCATATATGTTACACTACTGGTAACCAAAACTCATTCAGACCTCTAGTACTCCAATGAAGAACTTTTCTTAAATTTCTAAGAACTCCAGTTTTCGGTTGTGTGTCAGATGCGATCGCCAATGACCTAATGTCAGGCTTCCTCATCACGTTACAGACCACCCAAGCTCACTCAGTCCTCATGTAATCCAGTGAAGCGCTTTGATTAAATTTCTACAGCTAAAGTACACAGAAATGTTCTTAGAAACGTTTCCCATGGAGTGAGTGAGTTTTACAAATTTGCTCTTCATTTCAGCTAAGCTACACATTTTCTGGAGCAGGAGATGAACCCAGAAATCCACACAAACATATGAAAAGCATGCAAGCTCCAGCCATGGCTTCGGCCGGGAATGTGACCCCAAACGCTGAAGGAGCCCCACCCTCCATGCTGCCCCATTCACCCTGCTGCAGCAGCTTCTTTCACAAAGAATAAAAATAAAACTCGTACCAGCATCCAGCATTTTGGATGTCCAGCATTTGTTCCGCAAACCATAACGTAGCCATCAATTTTCTCAACGACGGTGATGAAATTATCGCATTCCTGATCCGAGGGGGGTGGGGGGGGCAAAAATTAAACATCCCATTTAGCCACTTCGTTTTGCTTAGATAATCCCATCTCCATACAAGCACTGTGTGACATTCCCAGCATCACGCTTAACAGTGAACCTTCTAGACTGACTTCCCCCAGATTCTCTTTCATGTTAACAGTTATGCTTATAAGAAAAGAAACAAAAGCAGTTACAAGTCAGGCAAAGACCCTTCCTCAACCTCACAGCACTGTGCAGAATTTAATCATTTCAATAAACCAACAGTAATGTTAGAATATCAATGCAGTTCATAAGCAACTGCATTTCTGCCTAAATGTCCAGTAGCATAAATATAATGACATCATATCAAAACAGAAATATATACAAGAAATGAATGGGAAAATGGTACAAAATGTGAAAATAACACTGAACAAGGGGAATAGAGGAGTTCAGGGTGTTAAGTTGTTTCTGACAGCGGATCCATGAAATGCATACATGTTGATGATGATGATGATGATGATGGTAACTACAACGCTGCACTCTGCTAATTCCAGTGCTTAGGTTTCCAGTGCTCTGCTAATTCCAGTGCTTAGGTTTCCAGTGCTCTGCTAAGTCCAGTGCTCCACCTTTGACTGGGGTGTTTCCGAAAGGCATGCTTCCTTCACCTTTTCTTCTGACGAAATTGGAATCTGGAGAAAAACAAAATCAAAGATAGTTGATCCACCAACTCAGACATCATCCATGACCAATCATCCAGGACAGAGTCAGGATATACTGTATATAACCATAAATTATTTATATATTTTAGTTATTCCTAGTTATGCCTATATTGCCTTTATACAGCTAGATTTCTATTCATCGGCTCACCCACCTCTGCATGTCTAACCGCACCGCCTGTAAATTTCAACATGTACAGTGTTGCCTGTCCGCCAACATACAAGACATCCTCTCCCTCCAGTAGCCGGACAGTGCTATACAGCTGTGGCCGTGTGAACTGGAACGCTGCAGACTCTGGAAAACAAGCAAAGCATTGCAGAATACTGGTAGCATCTTGCTTTTGTGATGGTAAGAGTTTAAATTCACCAAATCAACCATCTACCAGACTACACGGACACATTGAAATATGTCTGCCAGTGTGTCACTGGATATATGCGTGTGTGGGTGGAAGTGAGCTTTCTGAAACAAGTAGAGAGAGCAAAGAGGCAGCGTGAGTTCACATTTGTTTATAAGTTGAGGCTGCACCAGTCACGACGAGTTACTAATGCAGTGTGCCTCTCAGTTTATCAGGGACATGTACAAATGTGTTAGAAGGAGAGGCTTTATCTCTTCAGGGTCTCTAGGCAACTGGATGCTCTGTTGGACCCAGCCATGTATATAATACATATATATTTTTCACAACTTCAGCACCTCCTTGCACCAGTCGGGCCCTTGGCAGCTGCCTACTTTGCTCATGCCAGGATCCGGGCCTGTTACAAGCTATACAAGTTCCCACAATTCTTCAGTTGCATCTACCGTACATTATTATGTGAGCGCCAGAATTTTCCTCTTAGTGCACAGAAGATGAAATCTCAGTGAATATGTTGTCTCCGTCTAAACGTGAAGCGTGGAACTTCCGCTGTCTGTGTGGAGTTTGCATGCTCTACCCGGATCATTTGGGTTTCTGCCAGTACACAGATTTTCTCCTGCAGTCCAAGGACATACAGTTTAACTAACTGATGATTCTAAATTGCCCAGAGTATGAGACTGTGTGCATTGCGATGGACTGGCATCCTGTCCAGAATGTTCCCTGGCCTTGTGCCCCATGGTACCAGGGATAAACTCTAGCCCCAGTACCCCCAACCTCCCCCCCACCCCAACCCTGATCAGGATAAACTATTAAAAAGGTGAATGGATGGATGAATAGATGTATAAAGCACTGAATTATTGTCTAATCATTAACAGCTGTTATTGAATAGTACATGATTACAGTCACTGAACACTTGACAGCAATTCTTTAAAAAACTGTAATTATTTGTTGTTGCCGTCTGTGTGTGTGTCCCTCTGCACCCCCTCTGCGTACGCGCTGATAAATGCATCTTTTCCAGGTCATCGATGCCCGCTACTCCGCACTTGTTCTCCATTATCGCAGCATCAAACACGTCCCCTCACGGACCTGCATTGCAGTTCGGTAATACGAGCTCAGACTCCAGCACCGAGAGGAAATATAGTTTCAACTAGTAGTTTTGCGTATTTAACGCGTGTTTTGTATGCGACTTCATTTAAAAAAAAAAAAAAAAAAAAAAACTGGGATCGCAAAACATAAATCATTGACATTCCAGTACCACCAACGATACTAAATATAACCTAGATACGGTATGAACACCAGTTAGGGTACCTACGATACAGTAAGATTACTATTAAAATGAACTCATTATATTGATCTCATGGTGACGATTTCTGTTTGATTCAAATAACATTCTTGTATCACAGGGAAAACAACTTAAAAACAGCTATGTTTTAAGTATTTCCTAAAATTAAAATAATGTTGTCCAATAACCGACTGGACAATAAACATCAATAATACTAATCATACTACATATACGTAATAAGGATGTCGGCAGGTGGGTGGAAGAAAATTTCCGATTCACATACATTATGCTACAATACCGATGATGTTAGAAAGAGCAAGCTAGGATACATTCACAGTAAGTCTAAGAAATAAACCTGCCACTGGCAGCGACGATTTCCCAGAAATAACAGATTACGTGCGATATATTTGTTATCCAACAACCAATGACATGATGAAACTTAACAAAAGGCACCCACGTTGGCTGATTTCAGCAACTCAAGTTAAAGTGGTCGTCATAAGTGGTACCAAACGAAAATGCAATCAACAGGCACGCAAACAGCGGAGAAAGGGATACTAAGGAGTGAACATGACTAATCAATGGAAAGTACAATTATCTCCGCCGTAACATCTCCATACCATTAATATCCCTAGCAATCGTCGATGCTACCAAATGCAAATCGTGACTGCGATAAACAAAGAAAATGTGTCTAATTTCTTTTGAGAGACTGAAATACTAAAAGCCAAAACAACGGTTCTTTTCCCCGGGCAATTAAATTCATGTCGCCTAAAATATATACAAAGATAAACCGTCAGGAAATAAATAATAAATAATGTTTTAGAACCTTCGTTGTCGTCATCATAAAGAAGTGGCAGCCACAGGTAATAACGGACTGTTAATACGAATTCTGCAGAAATTTAACTAATAATTAACAACTAAAAATGATTATATGTTAACTCATCTTTTGAATGTTTAGCGACAAACCTACCATGGACGACGAATTTGAGCCTCGGCCCTTTCTCCGCAAAGACAATGAAAAAAAGTGAACAAAATATGAAATACCTCATTTTTGTCTTAATAACTAATTGCTTATATTTCGCTCCCAGGATTTCGTCAAGCCAGTATATGCGTTTAACTCATCTAAAACACGTATCGCAGAAAGCAAGTTACCCTCCCTTTAAGGCGTGTCTTATAAAGACTGTCTGTGTCCAGCTGATGATAAAAGTAATATGTGGCGATGTTTTGGCGTTAACGGGCTTTCTACTGTGCGGTCTTTGACAGAAATTCTGCTACATTTACATAGAGACGGATATGTTAGGTCTACCAAAAAGAAAACGGGGGTTGGGGACAAAATCCCATTAAATGTAAACGGGAATAGAAGCGGTAATTAGCAAGAGGCAGGGAATGTTATTTAATTCAGTGAATTCAACCATCAATATCATGTGAAAAGCAAGGGCGAGTGCTGATGCCGTAATTGCAGTTGATGTCGCAGGATTAAACATACTGCTGGTTTTCTAAAAGATGATGAATTATATAAGGGTTCAGTGCTGAAACTTGCTCGTGTTTTCCATGCTATAATCATTTCAAATAATATGGAAAATATTACGTCAATAAAGCTAAGATCACATGGTCAACGGGTGAAAACTAGTGCCGCTAGATGGCGCTCACAACACTCATTTTAAAAGGGACTACTGTACTGTAGAAAAAAACATGGTAAAAGGTTGAATATTTCCATTTCTTTGTGTACATTAATATGGTAGTACTAAAACATCACTCCTGTAGTTGAAAGGCATGCATTTGGGGGAATTTAGCATCTTCTAAATTACCCATAGGGTGCACACCCAGCGATGGACTGTCACCCTTTCCATGATGTCCCATTGCCTTGTGCCAAGTGATTCATTGGAGACTCGGTTGTTCGCGCAAACCTGTACTGAATAAACGGATAGAAACCGAATAGGTCGATATGAACGATTTGTAAACACAACATAATACTTAAACAACACACATTTTAAATTAAATTTACGCAGGATGGGCAATTAAGGAGACGTTATTGAAGCAATGAAATACTGTATTGATTGTTTTCGCCATCATACAAATGGCTCAGTGCCTATATGAGACTGCAATGAGTTTCATTATTAACAGATAACGTTATGTAACACGAAAGAGTATCTACTTTGTGTTAAAAATATGTAAGTCGTCTCTTAAAAACTTTCAGGCTTAAAGGTGTTATGGAGTACTGGCTTAAAATGGCTAGAGATAATGTCAGCGAGCCTCTGTTAAAGAGAAATCAGTTCTCATTTACTGACGCAATACCCCTCAGAAGACTTTTAAATGCTTTTCATTAAGTGGGGGTTCTACCGAAAACAAACGAGCTGTTTATGAAACGAATATATTATTTATTAATGTATGTTATGGTCTTTTTCATAGATTACATACATTTCAATATGATTGCTGTTATTTTGTAGTTATATAATTATCATTTGCTTGATGTTATTAATTCAGATGTATGTTAACTTATTTTTATGCTTAGTCTAGAGGTATTAAGGCCTATATGCAGCTAAATTTAATTATCATACATGCAAAGAATAAAGGATAGAAATAATTATAGCAGATGTCTTACGGCAATGCAATGAAAGGATAATTTTTAATATTTTTTGTTATTCTTGCAAGTTCAAAAATACACCTGATTATTCACATATATAGCCTCGTCCGGATAACATATATGTCGTTTTTGTGTAGCGCCACGTGTGGACAGAAGGGGAAATAGCAGCGCAGCCTTTCCAGCGTTAATTTGTATTCTGGGTTCCTAGCGCCGTAGCCGTCTTCGGCGTTTCTGTAAATAGGAAGCATATGGTGGTATTGCTGTTCTTTTACCAATGGATCACAGAGGATACAGGCTGAGTGAACTCCTACCGTGATGAGGTATTAAGTGTGCGTATAAACGCTCATATTAATGTAAAGTAAGCGCTTAATCCCCACTCAGACTGCGTGACTTCTTAGATATTCTGTGTAATATTACAGTTAACTTGTTAAGTGTCAAACGATGATTATGTAAAAAAAAAAAAAAAGGAAAATCACCAAACCGGAGATAATGGGAAGACTTCATATCAGTTCTTGCCAAATAAAACTGAGACATCTTTTAAACACGGTAGAATGCAAGTTTTACAGAGTATGATTGAACAGTTCTTGTTCCGTATGTTTATTGAAAGCACGGGTATACTTGCAGTTGCATTAAACAGATCATATCCGAGGATACCACAGTCCACAGAGTCTAATAAGAGAAAATAAAAGCGACCGAGTCCTGTAAAGGTAATCCGAATGACTTCGAATCCCAGGTCATAAGCGTGCCTATGGTTTCATGGGTAATGCAGTGGAACTTGAGGATAGAGAAGAATATTTGCTGTGAATATAATTCCCTTGTTCGCTTCTGCCTTGAGGCTTATAGTGAGCATAAAAATAACAATGGACCGAAAATTATGCACGCTAACACGCTTTTAAATCCGCGCTTCGTCACGTGTTCTGTCAACTCTGTTTTGTTACGATTAGTAACATTCCCACAAATCAACTGGAAGTATCGGTCCTTCTGTCGCACGTCCTTTAATTCACTGCGAATAAGATCGGTTCAAACAAGTGTGTCATATTGACATATAACAGTATACGGCACAGTGGTATGGATTAATAGTGAATAAAACCGGAGGACAGGGAACAAAACTCCATATTCTGATACAAAATAGGAACCTCTTGAGGTCTATGCATGGTTACCTGGCCACTCGAGCAGGCTAGTAATGATCAGGTCTCAAAGACCAGTGTCTGCGAGCATTTGTGTGCTGCCATCTTTTGTGGATCATCCCTGCTGAATAAACCAGTAAAGGCCAGCATGACCAGTATAATGCATGCTGGTTATACCAACATATGTTGTGTTTTGGTGCTGGTGGACCAGCTTCATGTGCAGCTATACCAGCACTAACCAGCATGGAAATCGATCATGCTGTATGCTCTACGTTGTTCTTTCCAGCAAAGATCACATTTTAATTCTTTGAAGAAAAAAAACACAGGATGTGTAGTATTAAAGAAGGAAAAGTTGTTTGTATTTCTACTTGAATCAACGAAGTTGAAAGAAGGGTTTAAGCATTGGGATTAACTTTCAGAAAATGCGCCAAATACTGCACTTGAGTCATCCAAAGCACTGTGTGTGCCTGAGATAGATAAGTCTCTGCATGATGGTCCTATTCGAAATATTGCATTTTGTGCATACTTGAAATGCAAGAGTAAAATTTAAGATTATATCAGATAAGGATATGTATTGGATTAACTGGAGTAAACTTTGGCTAATGTCCCATAGTATATAAGTATAGTGGACCCTTGACTTAGGAACCGAATTCGTTCGCAAGGGCTGGTCGTAACTCAAGTTGGACATAAGTCAAGACCATTTTCCCCATAAGAAATAATGGAAATACCCATAATGCATTTTGAACCTCCCAAAGCACCCCTTACCTAACCTATTCATAATAAAAAGGGTTGTATAATTTGCGTAATTGATCAGAAACACTAATGACTTTCCTAGTGTACTCACTCGCCTTTCGTTTATCCACACTAATAATGGCCTTTCTACCTCTAACTCTGTTGATCGTGACTTATTAATTTGAGGCACACCTTTAGCATCGCTAACTTCCTTATACAATCTTTTCTTTGCAAGATTGTCGAGATGGTGGATGTCGACATGCTGTACATATTAGTGAGATTGGTCACACGAATGCCACTGATATCTCTGCACATTTTCCTTCTTTTCGATTGCTTTCTTTACCTTCTCTTCCTTCCTTAGCTTCTTTTCTAGCTTTTTTAGGGCCATTTTAATAGCAATTAGCAAAATTAATTACATAAAGTACTGCACTGACCAAAATTATGTGTGGTGTATCTGGGCTCAGACTGATGCATTCGGGTCCTAACGCAAGATTTTGGTCGTAAGTCAAAACTAAAATTTTGGTCATAACCCAAGTTGTTCGTATGTCAAGTCGGTCGTAACTCGAGGGTCCACTGTATTACAAGTTCAGTACGAGGCAGGTTAGCCGCCAACGAGATTTAGAGGTGGAGAGGTAGAGAGATAAAACGACACGGTGATGGATGTTTCTGTTTCAAACTGTAGACCATAATAGGAGAAATCAAAGCTATCTGTATTGGACAGTTGTCTCAATGATACATTTCTAAGATATTGCACTTTCGTGAGAAAAAAATAAACCCACACACGTCAAGTAAAGAAATATGAAGATTTAATGCAGGTTTATAATTATTCCAGCATGCTTTTGTCTGCTGAAGTAAAAGAAAAAAAGACAGGTAACATCAGGGACCTTGCTAGGGTTGTTTGAGGATTGTTTTAACCCACCTAAAATGTTCTTTATAAAATGTTCTGAATAAATCTGAAGTACTTTCTTTAAATTGTGTCATTCATTAAAATCAATGTCCCCCTTTTTATATATTTTCAGCGACACTCCTGACATCACTTTTAATAATAAAGTGAAGTATAATTTCTATCAGATGTCAAGGTTTGACTAAATTTATGCTCATGGTAAAGAACACCCATAGGCTGAGTCCAGTTACAGGTCATAATGGCATTTGTAGACATGAAAAATTCAGTGCGTACGTATATCCGAATGACAGAAATAAGAAAAACATGAAACGCAGCTTATGAATCAAGATAGCAGAGAAAATACCCTGCTAAGAATCCCAGCTTGACCAGCATAAGATGGTTTTTAGCCGTCTTTTTCCCAGGAGGGATATATATTCTTTGAAAAAGAGTAGCTTCAGTTTCACACCATGAATAATCAATTACATTCCTCCTTGTTATATAACACCATAGCAACTGATGTGATTAAATCTATACGCTAATGAAATAACTTGTGAACTAATCCAAACGATTAAACCGCAATAAGAGAACATACTTGATCTATTTGTGAAGGAGGATTAAGAGGTGGCCTTACTGATTTGGAAAACGTTCTATATATCCACACTAATCCGAAACCAAGTCTCTTGACAGTTTTAAGGGGCTCAAACATAGTCGTTCATAACACCTCATGGCAGAGGTGGAAAGTTCAGGTCCAGAAAGTAAAAATCCAGACCAAGATTTTGTTTCAACCAACCTGTTAAGTACCCTGTGACTCTCACTTTTAATACTCAACTGGTTGGTTGAAACTAAACCTTGGTCTGGATTTTTCCTTTCTGGATCTGAACTATTCACTTCTGCATAAATCAAACTAGTAAAAATGAAAAGGACTTTGCACCATGTATGAAATAACTTTCCTCCATGGATTCTTGTGGGATACATTTTTTTTTTTAAATTTCCAAACATGTGAAAAAGTTGTGTGTTTCAATTTTATACAATTAAGGATGTGATTTCTATAACCTGATGTGATAAATAGCTCTTACCAACAGACCGCCGTGCAAACGACAACATTTCTTTATAGTAGATAAGATTTGCTGTACAGTTTTCAACATAACCACAAAAACATTCTCTGACTTTCATGTATAAAAACAATCACGTCTAAATTTACATGCTTAAAAAACAAGAATAAAAAAATGAATCGTATTTATATATATATACACACACATATAAAACTGAAGACAAACCTATAGGTATCAAACACAACTTACACAGTCTCATGGCCGCACAGTCAAATTTATGAGACATTTTCATGCACATTATTTCAAAGATGGCAAGTCTTATAGGGATTCCCCCTTTGAATGGGCTTAATCACTGTTGCTTAGTTACTACATTTACACCCATTGCTCCACAGGAAAGGCCACGTTCCATCCTTACCATCACATAAGCTTCATGGAGAACTTGGCGGCATCTGCCCCACCAGAGCCACCCCCACTGCTGCTATTCCAGTTAATGCGGGGGGGCACAAATTCAATGGCTGTGTGCGTGACTTTACCCATGTTGTGGCTCCAGACCAGCATGAAGACAAAGCAGATGGACATTGAGCCGAGGAAGCAAAAAAAGCCCGTAGTTATGGCAATGATCAAGGTCTTGGCATCAAAGGGGTAGGGGTTGAGGTTTCTGAAGGAGCTGTTGGAGTTCAGGAAAAACGAGGATGAGGAACCGCGCACATGCAACCGCACTGGAACGGTGTCATTTCCTGCGGCGTTGGATGCCACACAAACATATGTCCCATCGTCCTGTAACTGGGCATAGCGCACTTCCAATGTTCCATTATTTAGCACGCGGATTCGCCCATTGGTCGACACGACCCTCCGTTGCGGCGTCAACCAGATGATGATGGGCATGGGGTCTCCGTCACCACTGCAGAACAGCAGTACCGTGTGGCCCTCCTCAACCTTGACCGCTTGGGGCCTCCGGTTTAAGATTCGAGCTCGCCGGCAGGTGAAGATACCGGGCAGTAAGACCTCAGAGAACCCCAGGCCCTGCACTGGGTACGGAGAAGCGCAGGATGGCTGGTGGCCATCAAAGTTCAGGCGTAGGCGGCGACGCACCAACCACAGAAGACGGCAGTCGCACGCCAGAGGGTTGCTGTCCAGCCTCAGGGTCTCCAGGTTACCCACAGAACGGAAGACGGCCTCCTCCAAGGTAGGCAAGTGGTTGGACGACACATTGAGCACCCGAAAGTGGGCCAGTCCCCGGAAGGCTCCCGGCTCGATCCGGAACAGGTTGCACCCGACTAGGTGGAACTCTTGCAACCGAAGCAAGTCGCCCAACATGTTGGCATTTACAATTGTGATGGGATTGTACGACAGGTCCAGGTAACGAAGGTAGACGAGGTGGTTAAGGGATGTGTATGGAATTGCTGTGAGGTTGCTGTGACTGATGGTCAGTGAGATCAGATTGAGCCCCAATAAACTGTTGCTAGCCACTGTGTCCAGGCTGGGGCAGTGTGAGATCATGAGGGTACGCAAGTGACTCAACCGGCGGAAGGAGTTGTTTGGCAGCACGCTGAGGTTGAGTCGCTGGAGACGTAGTCGCGTGAGGGCCTGGAGCTGGAAGAAGGCCTCCATCGGAATATGACTCAGGTTGGAGCGGTCCAGGTTAAACTCCTGCAGGTTGTGGAGACCCACAAAGGCTTGCGGTGAGATGAACACGAGGTCATTCTCCCCAGCCTCCAGATGCTGCAGGCTGCCCAACTCACGGAAGGTATAATCAAGCAAGATCACGATCTCGTTTCTGCTGATGTCGAGCATGCGCAGATTTTGAAGCCCCGAGAAGATGCCTGCAGGGAGGATCTTCAGTTGGTTGTTCCTGATCCTCAGTGTGTGCAGACTTTGCAGGCCCTGGAAGGCCTCCCCCTCGATCATGGACAGCAAGTTGTCACTGAGGTTCAACTCGCGCAGGTGCACCAGGCTGGAGAACTGCCTGTAGCTCAGCGTCTTCAGCTGGTTCCGGGACAGGTCCAGAAGCCGGGTGTTGCTAGGGAAGCCCTCGGGTACTGTCACCAGCAACCTTTCGGAACAGTTTACCTGCAATGTCTCCAGCCAGCAGTCACACTTCTGGGGACAGGGCAGGGAAGAGTCAACCACTCGCACCCAAGCCATTGGCATAAGATAGACAATGGTGGGCCACACCCACCACTGGACAGCTGCCTCCACGAACATCTTCTGCCCTGCCTGCAGTAAAGACAAGAGGGAACATGGATTCCTCAACCTCCATCATGCCTCATTTATACTAAAAAGCTCAAAATTTAAATACTACAGTGTTTCAAACTCATTTCTCAACTATTCAGATGGAGTCACCCCAGGCTATATGGGAATAAAAAGTTGAGCTGCCTAAATTTTTAATGCAACCTAACTATGATTAGTTGATCTGCTTTGCAACAGGGAACTGGGAACCTTCCAGGTAATTTCCTTCAAAAACAGGCAAACTGCGAAAGGTAATATTAATAATCAGAATGCAGTAAAAGGTTATGTATCCAGGAGCGTTGTTATGCTTGAAAAACACTGAATTGTAACATGTGTGCACTTACTTTAATCCTTATACACACACATTAATGATTATTGTACTGTTATTTTAAATCAGTTAATCGACAGAAAACAAATACAGTGGTACCTCGGTTCTCGAACTTAATCCGAACTCGAATCCTAAAAAGTTTGAGTTCTGATCAAATTTTTCCCATTAGAAATAATGTAAAACCAATTAATTGGTTCCCGGCCCCCCAAAATTACACCTGCGTTCAACTTGCTTACAGCTCTGGCTTAAAGCAACGCTTTCTGATCCTAACGCAATGCATTACGGTTAGATGCATTGCGACCTCTCACCTGGCTGCACAAACTGGAACCGCCACCGTGACGACACACCTTTGCCCTTATTGGCTGAAGAGTTTAGTTACACGCATGACGTTTGTATCCCAGGCAGTTCCGATGCGTAATCTGCTATTTCTCCCAAATATCACATAATGCAGTAAGAACTGATTTCCAGTTAATTTACCTGGTAAAATAAAGTTTAAATAAATGACATAAATGCTCTAATAGTACAAGTTAGTGGTTTATTTATCGTTAGTTACTGTAATGTTGCGATACTTTATTTGGTTAATCATCCAGTCTGTGAAGAAGACATTCAAGTAAGAATTGCATTGTAGTATGACTCATTTCCTGGCGCGTACAATTTATATTAGGTCAGCGTTCACGGTTTGACTTCTGATATTCAGATCGAGTTCTAGGTCAAACTGGTTTGTTCGACTTAAGAAATTCGAGTTCTAGTAAGTTCGAGAACCGAGGTACCACTGTACTGCAAATTAAAGTGGTGGAACTTGTATGTATGTGCAGGAACTGACATATGTGTTGTGCAACCCTTTTCTTTGCTATTTTTAGTTAGTTTAATGTCAACTTTTAATAGAATAGTGTTAGGTATAACATATTATGAATTTATCATTTTTATGCTGTGCTGTCACTGAGCTTGCAGGTTACTTGGACTCCAGATATAAGAGCCTTAAATTGCTTCTGAAACAGTTTACCTTAGAATGCAGTATGGAGTATAGAATGGAGTATGAAATGTGGTGAATCACACCTCTGTGCCCTCATCTCCTACAGGGTGGAATAGTATGATTTCAAAGCCTGTATGTTGGCCTACGTTACATCACCGTGCCTCTGAACTGTCATGCACTCAGCACCAGGCTGTGAGGTCACAGCTCTTGTTCAGGCTGAGAGTTCAGGCCCCCGGCAGCTGTAATTCAAAGGGTCATACGCTCAAACCGTCACGCTGACTGCAAAACGTCACCCGACCATTCAGTTCCCCTACTCTAAAACACTGTCGATACTTTATTAACTTAGCGGACATTCTTTTCTCAAAGCAATATACAGTTGATGAAAGAGGGTGAACAAGTTCCTGGAGCAATTGGGTTACGGGTCTCTCAAGGATGCTATGGTGAAATCACTCTGCCGACAACAGGATTTGAACCAGCAACCATCCAATCACAGGCAAAAAGTCCTGACCCACAGCACAACACACCAACACACCTTAGATACTCTACCACCACCATAGACATCAATGTACTGAAAGAGCATCTGCCCTTCTCAGGTGCTAAGAATAACACACTTAAAAGGAAATACATGTCCACAAAGTGGATAGATCAACACTGCATTGTTAGCAGGCAGCCTCCAGAGTCCATGAAAAAGGGCTGTGATTGGTAGAAGACTGGCTGGCACACACAACAACCAAGTGCTGAGGTTCTCACTGAGCAAGAAATACTACAGCCTGAAATAGCTAAGGGGATATAACACAATCATACAAAAACATAATGATGGAATAGACAATAGCCTTCACAAAGCGCTTGGGACATTCTGAGAAGTCCAACTCGGAACTTAACTGTAATGTCATTGTGCACAGGCACAATGACATGAGGTAGCAGTGTCTCTGTGCAGGAATCACATATCTGCTGTTAAACCAGATAGTAGAATAGAATTAATGGCACAACATTAAAATCAGTGCAACTGAACAAAGTAGACCAAGTTACACCTGAATAAAGTGAGGTAACTTTCAGAGCGATGGACCATGTGATCGGTAACAGGATGGAAGAAGCCGTTAAGCCCTTTCTGCCACGATTCAGGCTCGGAGGATAATCTTATTAAGCCAAACTCTGGCCCAGGATGTCAGGCTACTGACACAGCTGCCAAGGGAGAAAAAGAAAAAGGAAAAATAAAAAAGCGCAGTGAAAGGCGACCAGGAGAGGCGTCATTCTTCAGCAGGAGTGTGTCCTCGGCCTCTCTGGAATACGCGCGGGCCGACAGTCCCGGCGGATTGCAGGATCCTGGACCTAACCAGCGGCAGATGGGAAATCGCTCCGCCCCGGCTCAGTACAAAAGCCATTAGCTCCTGCCCCATCCAGTGCTTTATCTTTCTCTGTCTGCTGTTTGAAGTCGTCCCCATGGATTACGGCGTGATGTTCATTGCCAGCTGCATCAAAGGGGCAGAACAATCCGGAATGTGTACTCCAGCGCGGTGAACGCCCCCCTCCTCGCAGACCCTCTCTGCCAGCCTTTCGTCCTCATTCTGTCTGCCCTCTCTCCACTTGTTATTCTTCCATTCCTATATGTATAATGCAATGGGTAGAATTTTCTAGACTCTGTGGTTGCTGTGGTCTGGGAACTCTAATGCAGTGACTGGTTGGTGTATGTTACTGCTTGGAGTTTACTGAAGGAAGTTGTACTTGGCTGCCACAAAGTTGTTGACTGCACATCAGAGAGGCAGTAAATGAGTAAGAAAAGTTGAAATTGTGCCAGAGTGAGTTGACTTCTGACAGCTGTAAAGTAAAAACGGGCATTTTTCTTACTAAATCTTTAAATACTTACATAGGGAACGTCTAAAACCTCCACCTACACTTTAATCTCTGTGCCGCTAAAACGTCTTTCTCTCCATCTTCTAAGCAGTCATCCTGTTAGGGTTATGGGGAGACAGATCTAAGCACGGAGTTGGGCAACAGTCATGTCACATGACATATACACACATTCATATTTTATTGCCCCCGAGCAGCCTAACTACATGTCTTTGGACAATGAAAGGAAAACCACACAGCACAAAGAGTGTATGCAGACTGCACACAGAGCGAAGGGGGATTCAAACCCACACAGCACAAAGAGTGTATGCAGACTGCACACAGAGCAAAGGGGGATTCAAACCCACACAGCACTAAGAGTGTATGCAGACTGCACACAGAGCAAAGGGGGATTCAAACCCACACAGCACTAAGAGTGTATGTGGACTGCACACAGAGCAAAGGGGGATTC